AAACAAGTGTTTTAATAATGCTTTTAGTCAGCTCAATATATTAATGTAAGAATTTGCTGAATAATACTATATTGGAGCTTACAAGGCATACAGACTCACTGTTGGGTCAATATTCATTAAAAAAAAGTACAGCAAATTTCAAAGTATGATTTTTCAGTAATATTTTGTTTGCTCAAGCTGACTTTTAATCTAAACTATTGGAAAGCCAGCTCTCATTCTGTGTATCTGCATGCTTCTGTTAATCAGGAAAAGGGCTCTGCTGTCCAACTATTAGGTAAGTTATTTGGAAAAGAAAAAATATTTGTCTACAAATTTGCGGATGAAGGGTTTCCAAGAAGAGAAATTATAAATGGGTCCTATTTGAGTACTCTTCTATGATGAATGACAGGCTTAACATTCTTAGAACTTGAAGAATATAATGACTACATCTTTAAAAGCCTCTAGGGATTATTGTACATTAGCAAATCAGACTCAGTAAATTATTTATCTATAAATTCATTTTTCTAAACAGATTTCCACCCCTTTCAATTTGAAAGCTAAACTTCTGATCCCTACTTCAGCAACTTCGCGTGAAGGGCCTACATCTGTACAAACATTTCTAATGAAAACACTGAGACAACCCCCGAGAAGCAAATAAAGTGAGACTTAAGTATATAACAGCCTTTCTACAGTTACATTCCTAACAATAGTGGATTCTCATTTGATGCCAAACGGAGGTTATGTAACAAAATCAGTGAGCAATGCAGTCCTTTTGGTTTTAGTGAAAATTTTAGGTTTTTAGGCAATTCTATTTTCCCATTTACAAAAATCTGTGTGAACCACATCTCTAAAAACCATGCGAGAGAGGGGCCAATGGTTAGGAAGACGTGTTCTAGCATAGGCAGCAAAAAAGCACACAGTGGGAAGTTTAGGCTCCAAAAGCAAGGCTATAATGGTCAAAATACAAATGTCAAAGGGGGATGTCAATTTTCAGGTCACAATTAAATATTATTCAACCAGACTTTATTCAACACCCCCACACGTCATTTTGTGGGGGAGTAGTGGGAATCAAATTCAGGGCCTTGCGCTTGCCAGGCAGGCGCTGTACTGCTGAGCTACGTCCCCGCCCAGAAGTCACTGTTATCCATTAACAAAATCACCCACCAAAAGTAGGACTACCTACCACCAGCAAAAGTGTACAGGGCCTAATTTAGAGAAACATCAGTCTGTAGTAAAAGAAATTCCTGTTTCAGCTTATGTCCCCGGCATGTGGACTATGTGCTCAATGTAAAAAGGAAGCATCTCGTGTTTTGTTTTCACTATGCTTTTCTTAAAGATTGCCTGCAATTTATCTTTAGAACTCAGGATTTAAGAGTAGAAATTAATACTCACTAATTTCAGACTCTGTTAACATGAGCAACACAAACGTGTAAGGAAGCATCTCTGGCACCGTATTCTTGGTTTGAAAGGTGACTCATGCAGAAAACATCCCTCAGCAGTGAAACTACTGAGCAGGCAGAGTTGAAGCAAAGACTGAGTCAGACTTTTTCCGGTTACAGTAAAACATATACATACAAAACTCACCGTTGCAACCATTTTTAAGTGTCTCAGGGGCCTTAGTACGTTCAGCATTCTATGACCGTTTCTACTGTCACCAAATCAGCTGGTGAATTTGCTCGATTCAGAGAGAAATCACCAGCTGGCAAAGCTGCAGTTCCCTGGATGTTAGGGGCTCCAGAGTCCAGCTTTGAGTTCCAGGGCTGCTTAGCAATTTTCTATCATAGCTCCGTCGCGGAGCCACCCCTATTAGCTGCTGAGCCGCTGGGGCTTGTATCCATCTCCCTTGGTGGCTTTTCTAGAGCTTTTCCCAGCACTTCCATTTCCTTTCAGGGAAATGGTCTCTTCCCTGGTCTCCGCGGGCTGCTTTCGGTCTCCACAGGACTCTGCCAGCCTTGCTCTTTACTGCTCTCTGGAGCTTTTCGGGGTAATAGTCTTTTCACGTTCCAGTTTTCTTATATTATAGCAACACACACAGCTCCCTCTTCCCAAGCTAAGAATCACAAGTGGGCAGCAGACTGCCGAGCAAGGCTTTTATTGGGATCAGTGGTACAGCATAGGGTTATATATATATAAAGAACAGCCTGTAGATAGTCTCCTGAATTTCATGGACCTGTTTTGGGCTTTGAAGTAGTAGGAGGATCAGGGACTTCTAGGACAGGTCCGTGTAATGGGCCGGCTGCAGCCAAGGCAAACATCTTCCAGTAGCTGTGAGTCCAGGACAGCCTCCACCGTCATGGTGACAGCTAGGTGGAACTGTGTGTAAGTATATATAAAGAACAGCCTGTAGATAGTCTCCTGAATTTCATGGACCTGTTTTGGGCTTTGAAGTAGTAGGAGGATCAGGGACTTCTAGGACAGGTCCGTGTAATGGGCCGGCTGCAGCCAAGGCAAACATCTTCCAGTAGCTGTGAGTCCAGGACAGCCTCCACCGTCATGGTGACAGCTAGGTGGAACTGTGTGTAAGTGGCTGCTTGACTCACCTTCTCCACAGAAACGGAGGCAGAGCTAACTGCTGCTGCTTTGAAGGAGATTCCATCCAGGAGAGGCCCAGTGTTGATCACGGCCACTGGGGTTGGGGATTTGGGGAGCAATGGCAGGGAGGGTGTGGCAGCTGCCTGTGGAATTGTGGAGGTCAGAGCAGAAGGGGTGAGGGGTGACTGGCATGGCTGCTTTTGACAGGTCACCCTGGGGCAGTTAGGAGAAGTGTGACGCCATCTGTGGAATTAAAACCCCCACCCCTCGGTCCAAGGGAAAAGCGGGTTTCATTTTTCTGTCTCATATCCACAATCCAGGACATTTTGAAACTGTACCCACTGAAAAGCAACTCTTTCCCCTGCTACCTTGTAACCTGTTCCATTTTCTGTCTCTGTGAATTTAAAGCAGGTTTTTTCTAAAAAGTAAAAGGATCAGACAGAACTACTCAGTACAGTATGCCCAGTCATGCCACAGATGCATCAACCCGTCAGTGAGATCAGAGAAGCCCATTTTCCCAGTACCCGAGTAATCAAAGTATTTTATGTCTATTTTGTTAGGCAGACCAGGCACAATATTAACTTCTTGATATTTTTAGCAAATACAGACTCTGTATCTGAGTTTTTCATCTGTGGATTCTGCTTCTGTGGATTCAACAACTAGATCAAAATATTAAAAAAACACTGTACCAGGCCAGAGATTTAGCTCAGTGGTTCCGCTGCCTGACTCGCAAGCACAAGGACCTGAGTTCAATTCCCGGTACAAAAAAAAAAAAAAAAAAAAAAAATTGTACCACTCTAACCTGAATATGTATGCAGTGTTTGATCACTACTTCCTAATAATAGTATGAAAACTGCTTCTATAGCCCCGACACTGGACTGTTGGATATATGTGAACCAGAGATGATTTTGATTCTATGTGAAGATGTGCACAGGTCAAACACAAATACTGCAGCATTTTACACAAGGGGCTTTGACATCCACAGGGGTCCTGGAATTATCACCATGGAGCGACACCTACACTACCCGAGAGGACACTTACTGAGTGCCTGCATGTGGCAGTCAGGCACTATCTTAGCTCTGCACATCAGAGAACATGGGGTAGACTTTGCCCTTGCAGGACTTGTGTTCTGGTTGACTATTTGCCATTATCCCCCAACTACAAAATTTGGAAAAATACTCCATTTTGATAACAATGGCATGTTTGTTCAGAAATGTTACAGAACTAGATCAAAAGGTCATCTTTGGCCAGTGCTTCTGCAGGTGATGGATAAAAGAACAGTTGGGTCTATTCTTAACTGATGATAAATATCATATTCGTTTTTTGTTTGTTTGTTTTTTGTTTTGGTACCAGGGATTGAACTCGGGTCTTTGTGCTTGCAAGGCAGGCCACCGAACCGCTGAGCTAAATCCCGGGCCCTAAATATCATTTTCTTATGTTGACCTTCTGGATATTTCTTTCATTTAATTCAACATCTCATAAGATGCTATATAATATAGAAAAGAGTCACAGAAAAATTGTATTTTAAGTTAATATTCAAAATTTTCTTTATCAAATGTAATGCCTAAAACCAGGTGAATCCACTGAGGCAGAAAGTAAATTAGCAGCTATGAAAAGTAGGCGGGGGGGAAAGGAGTGACTACTAGTGAGTACCAGGGTTTCTTTTTGGAGTGCTGAAAATGTTTTAAATGGTAGTAATGGATGCACAACCTCATAAATCTACAAAAAACAAAACAAAAAACCCATGGAATCTTATACTTTAAAATGGTGATTTTTGAAGGGCATCTAAATCACATCATTGTAAAAAGTCCTGATTAGGTAGTCAGTAACCCTAGACGTAATAACGCTAAGGCCAGGCAAGCCGTTCTGAAGAGGCTGGGACAAGCGATGTGTTCTAGAGCAGTCTGTGAACTCAGGTTCAGCTGGCAAGTATCTAGGCAACAGAGGAAAGGCCATCTGTTCAGAGCAGGCTGTCCCACTCAGTTTGTGCAGAGCCCCGGTGCACCCTAAAGCACACCCAAACCTCCATCTGTTCCAGCACAGTAACTCACAACCAGACAGATTTTTGGGACATTCCTGTAAAGGAACTCTCCAAGTTTATGCAGACACGGTATGAGATATACTTACAGACATGACACACTGCTTCTATGCAATATATGTGAGCCTCAAATGGATACTGTGGACTTTCTCCATGGAACGTATCATAGAAATTCTGAGGGTAAATTATATTTCACCTAAAAATATACAGGAAAAGGTTTCCTCTTACCTGTGATGATCAGGAAGCGTATCTGTCCACGCACTCACTTAGGTACTGTGTCATACTCATTAATGCCCAGGCGTTACCCAGGTAGTACAGCAACCAGTCTAAATACGTAAAGTGCCACTTACAAAGGGAGGGGCTATAGCTGAAGGACTGCAAGACTGTTAAAAGTCTGAGAAAAAAATTAGAAAAATACGGTGACTTGAAACAAAAAGAACTCAAAGACGCCACAATTATTTTATTTGTTAAATTGCAATAACCAAAAGACTGATTTACAGAAGGCAGAATAAACCACACATACTTTTTTGAAAACTTCTTATTTCTTTAAATCTAAGGCCCCCTCTAGTGTTTGAAATGCTACAGGTATCACACAACGCAAACGAAGGTTGCCATAGTAGAGACCTTCCAAATCAGAAAGAATACTTTTTGTTCCTTCCACTGGTGTGGCATAAAAACTGATGAGAGAAAATACCCATAATTAATAAATATTTCAAATTCCTGCTATGATTACTCCTTCAGTAACTACTTTCTGTTATTTACTGCTGAGTTTTTTTAGAGGATTAATACTTTATTAATAAAGGGAAAATATATAGTGTAAATAGAGACTTTAATTTCCCAAATGAGATATACTTTACTGAAAAAAATAACAGAACATTAATTTAATGTTACTAAGTAACCTATTCTGCTTTTATTGAAGTTATTGATAATTAATATATACTTCTAAAGTACATACTTACATTTGGGCATCAAATTTTAAAACTGTATCTGTTTTTAGTCCCAAGCTTGTGGATCTGCTAATAAACATTTTTAGTATTATGTGAAGAAAGAGGGTGAGTGTGGAAAGTGTACTGGGGATAAATGTTGGCTTTGAGAAATAAGACGTAAAGGACTGCTTCAAATTTACACACACAGCACTGCACAAGCCCAAGGACTTAATCTTATGGACTTCTGGAAAAGGCCGGTTAAAGTTGGAGTAAAAAATAGTTGTTTCATTATTGTTTTCCCAGCTAAATCCTTTGTGTTGGTTTTCACGTAGTATTATAGGGCTTAACAGCTAGTTTTTCTATCACTGGAAAATAAAATGAAATCGCTAATTTTAACAAAAGGCCGTCTTAAGCAGAAGGCTGATGGAAAAGAACAGTATTAAGTAAATAACTTATGCTTTTAGCAATCAAGAATATATTGAAGAATTGAAAATTCAACAGTTCTTTAAACAAGTTTAATGTGTACTAGCTTTAAACAAATGATTAATTTGTCACCCAATATGTCATATGGCTTCTCTGCATTGATACTGCTTTGTTGCCAAACTTGTCACTTGCAAATTTTTAAAAATTAAGGGAAAAAGTCACCTAACATGAGTTATATAAACCTGCTACATGTATAACTGGTTTCAACTTTTACGATATTTACACTCAAAAGGAAGAAGACACAATATTATTAAAGTGCAACATATACTCTTTTGGCTCAACATGAAAAATTATATAAATGGAAATTACTGCTGCTGTTTCTCCTACACCAAACTTAGTGAAGAGCTGTTTTGAAAGTCAGCCATCAGATTACAAACTGAAACACTGAAATTTTAAAATGAGTATATAAAATGTAATTATGAATAAAACCAGCTCTAGAGAGTAGCATAAAGTAAATAAAATCAAATAAATACTATACAGTGACATACAAAATTCTGCTTATAAAAAATTGAAAATAGCATTTAAAAATACCCATTTTTCTTCATTTTTGAGTTTTACAACAAAATTAAAATTTAAACTTGAAGTCTCTGCAAAGATTTTCCAAGTATTATTAATTACTGGCATTGTTTTTAGCCAAAACTTCTCTGATCTGTCGGTCAAGTTCACTTATTATGTGGTCTTCATGATTATATACTCCCGTTCTCATCAAAGTATCCCTTTCCTCAATGAGGCGAGTCAAATAACCGTCCAAGCCTTCTTCCACTGCAGAGCCACGCAGGCCTTCCATTTTCCCACTGGCAATTTCTCCGGAATCCTGGCACTGTTTCTGTTCCTGTTGCCTTAACCTGGTAAGTCAAGAACAAATGCCACTCTAGCAGACGACAAATAGTTTTGTTTTTTCTAACAGCACTATTTTAAAACAAAATGATTCAATGCTAAAGTAAGTTTTAGTAATATCTTCCAAAGAACACAAAAACTAATGGCTTGGCTAATCAAGAGTCAAAAATATTTAAAAGGGCAATTTAAAAAATAGTAATTGTTATAAAACACACCAAAACCATAGAAATTTGGGGGCTGTATAAGGAAAATAAAAATCATCTGCAGTCTTATTCAGGAATAACCAAAATGAGTGTCATTTTTCTCTATTTCTTAATTTAAAATGTACACACGTACTTTATATATTTTTCTAAAACTTTAATGACGTACTTTTTCCACTTACTTCTATTGTCCTACATATCATTCTTGTAAATGACTTCATGTTGTATCATCATTTAATCATCTTTTAATACATCCTTTAAGTTGCAATTAAGTCTTTGCTGCTTGAGCATAAAGTTTTTTTTCTAAATTCATCCAACAGTTATTTACGCAAAACTGTCTGGAGATACTACAGTGACTCAAAAAGAAACACCCACTGATACAGAATGTACACTTCCAGGTGTGTGTACAGCGAAAGTGAGTGTGAGTGCAAGTTTAATCGGCACATACGCGTTAAAGTTAGTATGCATCTCCCATGTTACGTTACTGATGACCGCATCTGTAGAGACTTAAAAATCCGGTGCTGCTTTTGGGTAGTTTCAACAGATAACTGTTGCTCATAATGCCTTGCAAATGGAGGAGTGGTAATGCCAGTGCTGCTATCACCTAGTGAGTACACTGACTTTGGAATGTGGAATGTGTTTTAATTTAGAAAGTATAATTAAAATTAACTTCATATTTATCTATTAACTAGCTACAAAAAGCTTTAATCTGCAACTATTCCTAAATTCTGTCTTGATAAGAAAAAGCAGTTGGGTCCAAACCTCTGCTCTGAGATGATCTTCAGAGTGAGCCAAGAGCAGCAAGCCCACTTCTGAACTTGCACAAGGACCCGGGAGAGGCGGGAGAAGCAGTGAGCAGCGTTCTGCTCCAACAGCCCCTGAGTCCTGGGCTCAGAGAACTCCGGCCGACTGGCAGTAACTCTGAAACGCGAAACCCTAGAATTTCTCCTCCAAGAAAAGGAAACTCAAGAATACACGCCAAGAAGGAAACCAATCTCTGTTCTCAGAAAAAAGCCTCAACAGTGAGGGACACTGTGCTCTGAGACCCAGGAGGTATGTCCCGAGTTTTCCCACTGAGTTCGAGCAAGCATTCTTCTCCCTCGCCCGCTTCCCTCTCCTCCTCCTTTTAATTCTTTGTGAGGTGCTGGCAATCAAAGTAAAGGCCTGGCACACACTAGGCAAGTGCTCTGCTACTGATATAAACCTCCAGGCTACATGCAGATCTCTGAAGAGCTCTTTCCTCTGCCCTACTTCTTACATTCACTTAGGAGAGGAGACTCTATAAGCAGTACCTTAGTATGTATTAGAAACTTCAGCCACTTTCCTTTCTGTATCATCTGTTCATTCATGAAGGACAAATGCAATTTTCGGAAAACTGACAGAATATCCTTACTACATATTTAATAAAATGCAAATTATCAGTCATGATTACAATAGGAGTCTGGAACCTAGAGCTAAAAAAGCCCTTGGTGTTGTCAAAGGAAATTCTGATAATATTCACGACAAATGTTATGTTTGGATTCCATTCACACATTTCCTGCCACTAGGAACCTTTTGCTTTGTAAAACTGTTCTGTTAGAAAGTTTCTTCTCATATTAAACTCACTCTCCCTCTTTATATTTTTTTCCTGCCCAAGAAGGGAAGCCTACTTAATTTTTTAAAAATATGGTAGCCCTCCAGATATTTGCAGATAGCTATCTACTCTCTTCTCCAAGTTCAGTATCCCTCTTTCCTAACCAACTGGGTAACACGAGGGAGAGCCTCTTACTGTCTGGCGACAGGTATGGGAAGGACCTCCGCGGAGCTGATTTTGCTAGAGAACATTCCACATTGGTAAGAACGCTTCAGAGGTGACTTTTGCAATACTGAATATTGAATACTATTTCTGTCTTTAAGTATCGATTTTCTGGAAGCCAACACACTTATTACTAGTGACCACTTAAATCCTAGGTTTCTTAATAGAAACTGTTTTATTATACCTTGCCTATTATTTGATTTTCCCTATACAGAGGATTTTTATCCATATTCATATATTTATAGTAGTTGCAGTTCTCTGAATTCTAATTTATAAAGGCAATGATGAAATCTACAAATGTGATAGTTTTAAGCCCCCGAAACACAGCATTTTTTGGTTCTGATGCTATCCATGACACCAAAAATATGGAAAGCAAGAATCATTTTCTGTTTATTAATGTATAACATGATCCAAGTCTACAACATTATAGACACAGAATAAATATTTGTTGGAAAATCTATACCAAACAACACTACACTCATTTTTTTTTTTTTTGCCATGAATGTAGTTATTTCAAGTTTAGCTGGATCTTGTTTCTATACATAACATTAATACTTTAAAATTTATTTTTGTGTGTATATTTCAGATTAATACTAATTAAATGGAATTTTAATTAAAGGATATTTCAAATTTAGTTGTATTAACACCTAAGACAACAGCTCATATTTATTATACTTTTATGTGTCAGTTGTTTCAAGGACCTTATATGCTAGTCTCACTTTTTTTTTTAGTCTTTAAAGCAATTCCTTGAGGAAGACACCTCCACTGGAGGTGAGAAAATTAGAGAGAAAGATGTAAATACCTTTTCTTAAGGTCCTGCAGCTAAATAATACATCATAGAGCCAGAGTGTAATCTGATTCTAGAGATTATCTTTTTAACTATTATGCTACACTGGTCTACTCTATAGTGTCATTTCCAACCTCATCACAACTTAACTGTATGTCACGTTAGACATCACTAAGCAGCGTACACATACGGTCACAGACAGACACACAGACACACAACACAGCAGGCCTCCTTATCCAGTTTCAGCTATCCATGGTCAACTGTAGTCCAAAAATATTAAATAAACACTGCAGGAACAAGTAACGTGTTTTGAACTGCAAGCCATTAGAGCAGCGCTAGGCTATCTAGTCCATTGTCCCAGGACATGAATCGTCGGCTGTCCAGCTGTAACGCTATCTACCGTTAGTCCCTTGCTACCCTGCCGTGGGACAACGGTCATGGTACTTTGGTGCTCATGTTCCAGGACCCTTATATAGAGCTGCTTCGTATACGACCCGCTGCATCTGTCCATGTAGGCACTGTCACGTCCCATCATTACAAGGGCGAGCACAGAACGATAGGGTGTTTCACCAGAGAAACAGCAGTCACGGAACTTCTATTAAGTATACCACTGCATCCGCTCTATTTTACTATCAGTTACAGTTAATCTCCTATGTCTAATCTATACTTTAAACTTTGTCATAGGTATAGTGGGATATGTAGGGGTCAGTGCTATCTGCTGTTTCAGGCATCTGTGGGAGGGTCCTGGAATGTACTCCTCCCAGATGAAGTGTGTATGCGGGGTACCATACAGTCTTTTTTGGGGGACTCTTTGTTTTGGCTTTTTTAAGGGACTGGTACATTTTTGTTAGTGCATGGCACACTGTTTTAAGTTGGTTTACACTGCCAAAACAATACCACAGACTAGGCAGCAGCTTAAAAAACAAATTTACTTTCTCATACTTTTATAGTTTAGAAGTCCAAGACCAAGGTATAGCACAGTCATTTTCTATAGAGCTACTACCTTCTAGCTCCGTCTCACCCAGTAGGTGGAAAGAGATGTCAAGCTTGCTTTCTGGTGTTTTTTCTTATAAGAACATTAATAACATCTTGAGGGCTCTGCCTTTGTGGCCTCAACTCCAAATAGCATCACATCAGAGGTTACAGCTTCAATATGAATTTGGAAGGGACACAGTTCAGTTCATATATACTTGTATTTGATGAAAGTATCCCATGATATCTCTATATATGAAAACTGTTTTTCAACCCACAGACATCTATTTATTTAGCTGTTCTTTTATTTTATAAGCATATTTTTGTTTTCAGCACATAAATCTTACATGTTTCATTAGATTCATAAATAAGCTTTTTTTGAGCAGCTGTAAATAGTACTGTGTTTTTCATTTTGGCTTCTGTGTTCATTGTTCGCATGTAGGAATACAACCAATTTTATGTGTTTAAAAAATCTAGCCTTGGGGCTTTAGCTCAATGGTTCCAGAGCCTGCTTCATAAGCACAAGGACCTGAGTTTGATCCCTGGTATAAAAAAAAACAAAAACAAAAACAAAAACCTAGCCTTGGCTATTAATCTCAAAAAAGTAACAAGAGCTGTTAATTTATAATACGAAGATAATTTGTTTACATACAAAAATGTAATTATTTTTCATAATAAAAACAAACTTTTATACATAGAAAAATGCAATCACTACATTCAATTAGTTCAGACCTGAAACTGTATTTAGAAGATATATGAATAAACATCAATTTTAAAGTCAATTCTAAGTGCCACGCTTATAGGGAACAATGTGTACACTACTTTTGCTCTCTTCTACTTAAAAAATGATTACTTAATGGCCACAATGTTATAAGCTTAGAAGATCTTACAGATTATTCAATTTTACCATGACCCTTGCCTTCCAAAAGTTTTCTCTCATTTATAGCACTGAAACCAAAAGAAGTGCCGTGTGCTTAGGAGTACTTTGGTGGCTTAAGGCAGCATTTGTGACTATAAATTTTGTGGATCAGATCAAATGAACCTTCCTAATGTCATAATACACTTTACATACAATCCACTTCACCCTTGACGATCTAAAGTTGTACTTTCCCTGGAGCAAATGACCCAATTAAAAGACTTCTATTACAGCTTTTGCTTCTGTAGGAAAAAAGAAGTGAGTGATCTTTTCATTATTATACCTGTTCAATTCATTTCTTATGTCCAACAATTCTTGTTGCTCAGTTTTTACTGTATCTTTCTCCTCGGCAGCTAAGTAACGCAGTCTCATCTGTTCCAATTCCTCTTGCTGCTTTTTAAGACGAGCCATTTGACTTTCTTGTTCTCTCTTAAAGAAATCAGACACCTCATATCAGGAATATACATTTATTTCATATAACTTTGACTTAAGGTTATATCATATTGGACAATATCCATGATATAGCCATGTACTGCCAACTCTGTAAGTCACATCTACTCTAGAAAAACCCAAGACTTCCTAAATACTTTATTTTTCTTATGCTATCACAATCATTCATGGCCCACTTAATGACTGAGGTCAGCTGAATATTCCAGGATAACAAGGAAAGAAAATGACTGCTGTCACTCCAATGAACTGCCATAGGAACAATGACAAGAGCAACAAATACATGGTTACTTTCACAAAGTTGTACCTACAAAAACTTAATAGCTGTTCCTGATCATTAATTCTAATCCATCTCAGTTAATATGGCTTTCATTCTTTTTTCCAGGCTCATCCAAAAATCTATGCATATATGCCTTTTCTTTTATTTTGCTCTTTATTTAAATTTTGGGTATCTCATACAAGTGAAGCTTGTGAATCTGATTTATTTCACTCAACATTATGGTCTCAGGGTGCATCCATTTTCCCACAATGACTCCGATTTAGCCTTTACGGCGGAGAGGTATTCCGCTGCGCATAAATGCCACAATTTCATCTGTTCATGAGTACATGGACCACTTCCAAGAGTTAGCTATTATGAATGATGCTGCTATAAACATCGATAGGTATGTGTCACTGTAAGATGATAGATATCTTGAACTCTTTTGGGAAGGGAATAACTGGGTCCAATGGACAGAAATTCCACTTTTAGATACACACACTTCAGAAATTCTTACACATCCAAGAAAAGTTTTGTATTGTTTTACTATAAGAAAATCTGGAAAAAAACATATCCACCAGACTATATTGATTGTGGTATATTCATAGATGATCACACACACACACACACACACATATATAAAATAAGCAATGTTGCTTAATATTTTTAATGTCTTATAAATGTGAATTACTAAACACTAAATTCAGGAGAGTGGTTACCTCTGGAAAGGAAGAAGATACAGTTGACGAAGTCATACAAAGGGTTTCCAAAGCATTACTGATGCTGTTTCTTAAAGTAGAAGGTCATTGAGGAGGGCATATGAATCCTGTCTGTGGAATGTATTTCACTCGGGAAGTAATTAATTAAAAAGAAAGGAAAAATATCTGGACAAAACTTATCAAATTATTGTCACTAAGGAGATAAAAGTATTGGTGGTTTTTATTTTCTATGTTATATGGTATCGCAAACTGCATATTTTTTAGATAAGGGAGAAAAAAAATAACTATTTACTTTAGTTTGTTTTATAAAACTTCAGTAAAATCTAAAACACTTTTCTTCTAAAATGTACCAGAAAATCCTTTTAACTGCTTAAAGTTGTAATTAAGTATGCAGTATTACCAATAATCACACACACACACACACACACACACACACACACACACACTCACACACACACGCACACACAAATGAGAGGTCAGTGAAAGGAACCCTGTCTGCTGCCAGGTGCTCTGGGTTATAGGCCCCTCAATCAAGTGAGTATAATCTTTATTTTGCCTTGGCGGCCTATAAATCCAGAGAGGAGATGTAAACATACACACACTAGACTAAACAGAGGCTAAAAAGTGGCCACTACTTACCCTCCCACTCACACATACCATGTAAGCCTGTGGGAAAAAACTTGCAACTTAACTAAGGAACTCAAGTAAAGTTTTCTGAAAATAACCCAGAGCTGACAAGCCAGGAGGAGGGCCTGGATGGTTTCAAGACACAGTTTTTAACCAAGACTTGGACCTCCAACTGTTTTCTTAAACAAAGATTTACATCCCATCCTTGGCTAAATTACCTCTAAATTAATCAAATTAATTACTCTGAGGGGATAAGCAGGAGGCTGGACAAGATAGTGCTGATGTCAGCTGATGAAGTCTGTGCTGTTTTAACCAAATACATCAGCTTTATTTTAAACAGATCTACTGCGCACAAATATGGGAAAGCACCCACATCCTACCCATAATCTCAGTTCTGTTTTCTTTCTTGGGAACAAACACATCTAGTTTTATATTTGACATAAAAATGTTAAATTTTCTACAACAAATTCATACGGTGGCCTCTATCTGCTTACATAACTGTAATCTATGTTTTTAGGTAAATATGTATGTATGCTGTTTTGGCCATAAGGACTAAAGCAGACCATTTTAACTCAGGTATCTGTAGACCAATTTTAAGATTTTATTTTAGCTTTAAAATACTTTTATAGTACCTTTTCACAAAGAGGAGAAACAGGAAACCAAACTGCTCCCCTAAAAGTCTAAGAAGTAGATCTTTTAACTATGTTCCAAATTACCAAACTTAGAATGCAAGGGTATCATTTCCTTGTTTTCTAAATCCAGACTCCTTTTATGTTATCCTTATTTATATTTAACAGCTGTTGCCATCCCAGTTACAAAAGAAAAACTTTACAAAGCTTATAAGTTTTATGGTTGTGAATCAGAAGGAAAGTTTTTTTCCTAAGTAATTAGAAGGTTATGATATTTTAATTCACAAACTGACTATACTAGGTCACCTTTGGGTAATGGAAATCTGTTTAAACATTCTTTTGGCAATGGGCATCAAGCATAAGATCTTATTTCCAAGCTTTACCAGCTGGGTTTTGTCATTAACATTTATTAACAATCTAAGATATGGCTTTCACCATCTAATCCGTACGACATGAATGTTTTGTATGGCCCTCCAGAGGGTTTTGATGTGATAAATTACTGGCAGAGATTATAGCCCCGTGGCTATTCACCAGAGGCAATATAAAATTAACATGGTCCTAATCCAATTTAAACAAAAAGTTGTACAAACAATCCTCTGAACAAAACCAGATAGACAATTCCAATTTCATATTCAAACACAGTATGTTTTTAATAAAAAGTTTTAGGAGAAAGTTTTTCAAAGTAATTATCACATGTAAGAAATGTGTCAATTTGATCTGATTTCAATTTTAATCTTCCAAAAACAGTGGCAAAGCAAAATTCACTATGGCAATCCCAAGATCTATTACTTTTCTTTTTAATTTGTTGCATCTCAATAAGGTCTGCAGAGCATCAATGATTCCTAGTGACTTCAAAATTTGTTTCTAAAGCAGAAAGTTTGTGGGATAAGAAATGAAACTGGTCCACAATGAGAAGCAACGAACAACAGTGCCCTCAAAGGCTGAAACTCTTACTTTCATTTTTTTTTCACGGAGTGTAAGTTCCGCAGAACCACTACTTTAACAGTTTTATTTCTGAACTTTCGTGACATCCTCTCTTACTAGGATCACATAACTAAAATTAATTTGTTAATGGCTTTTGGGCTAGACAGTGATTAACTGGAAAGATCCCATAGGTAGGAAAAGGTAAGAGGATGCATGTGCTAGGAACTCCCTGGGTGAGAGCCTACCATACTGAATCTCCTTTTTAATAGACCACCCCAGTATCCCAGGATCTCAGTATTAACAAAGAGCGATGAATTTAAGTCACCCTTGTGAAGAAGGTGAACTTCACATAGTTTCACACTGGTGAAAAACTAAAAAAGAATATGATCTACAATATACACATAAGAACGTGACAAAACTTTAAAAAGAAATGCTAATTATAATGAAGCCATGTTTCCATAACTGTTAATGATTACTCCTTTCTCCCTCCCCCAAATACTTTATCCAACAGCTAACACCATTCCATATTGTCAGCTGATTTTGGTAACGCCTCGTGACCAATCACCACTGTGCCGGTTTCTTATTCACTACTCAGCTTCAACAGCACACAGTATCTTCCACACTTTCTCTATTTTAAAACTCGAAAGAATTTCCAATCTAACATTTTCTTTGGAAACATTTATCGGTGAGATATTCTCTTTCCGCTTTGGGTGGTAAATGAACTCGAGCTCATGGGAGACAGCTGCTGGATCTGCATTCTCTACCAATGTACAAGGTCCACGGCAGCTTCCCCATAAGCATGTGTTGAATGAATAAAGGAATACGAATGAACCGATGTTCTTCAGACTCAAGGCACATTCCTTTATGCCCCGATTTCAGAAGTGCACCTACTGACACTTGCATATCTACACATTTAGTTCTTGTTTTATTCTTCTGTACTGTTTCCATAAAACATGTGCTAAAACTACCATTTAATTTAAATGGAAACAAAGTCTTTGTAAATAGGGGAGGGTGGAGGAGGTGAAGGGAGGGCAAAGGTATGGAGAAAAAATAACCAAGATACATCACATAAAGGTACAAGATCCTAACAATGAATGTAGCTGTATTTCACACCTAAAATGTACCAATAAAGAAAAAAGGAAAAAAACAAACTACCATTTAAATAGCTTCTCAGTGACAATCTCTAATATCTGGTCTATTCATCAATACTAAAGGCTACCAACTAATTAGGTCCTCATGGACAAAAGCAGGAGAACTATATAACAGTTTATCATCTCCCTGTAACAACAGCTACTATGTTACCAACACTGCACACTTTATAGACCACTTATATAACTTCAGAACAACTTGTAAAGAAAAAGTTCTCGTTATACAAATAAAACTAAAAGGAGAAACTCAATTACCAAATTCATTGTGAGAGTGAGAGGGAGACCCAAGATTCAAATTCAACCCCGTTCTCTTATTTTTAACTACTTCCTATGCTGCTTCTGATAAAGTCTGTATCCTGTTACAGCTTATTCTCATCACATTATTCCCTTTCTCCAATCCCATAAGGACTATTCTGATCATAATAAATGTAACCTAACTATCTTGGTATCAGGACTTTGTATTAAGCTCTTTTTCCCTTAAAGTCATTTCTATTCTCATTATCAGAGTTGGCCTAACAGTCAATACCATTCTCTTTGCTAAGATATGCCAACAACTCATGACTACTTTTGCTGAATACTCTTGTCAGAAACCCCCATCTTCCACCCCTCATTTCCTTCCACGGGAAATTCTTTCATTCTGTGACTTCTATGCACTAAAACCATAATATTATGAAAGGGGCAGAGCCTGGCTGGACCCAGTCAAATGACTTCAGTTCTAGCTCAGTCACTTAGTGCCTGTCTGATGCAATTTAACTTCAAGTTAGCTTCTTCATTTATAAAAGAGGATCAACACTACCCTTATATAAGGACATTAGTTAGAATTAAATGAAGACATCTGAAGGGCTTATTTAGCACAGGGCATGAAGCCCTCATCATTATCAGCATTATTATAACGATCTTCACTCTTTTTCCCTGGTTACTATTTTCTTCACTAGCTTTCCTTCCTCCTCAAATAAAAGAATTTCATGTTCTGCCTGGCACATCTTCAAACACTGTATCATCTCTGCAAAGGACTCTGCCTCTCCTTCGGCTCAATCACACTCCCAACAACAGATGTGTATCTCTTACTATGTATGGAATTTCTTGGTAAAAATCAAGATGTCCACAACTGCAAACCTTATCTCTTTCCCACACTGCAGTTAGTTCTCAGTATTAACTGTATTTCCAACACGGAAACTCTTTCCAGACACTATGGTTGAGACTTCGGCATCATCTTTGACAAGAACCTTCTATTTGCATTCTTTTGTTTCTACTTTAACCTGAAATGACATCTAAGATGGGCCCTCTGCTGCTTCACAAACAGGCTATGATTTCTCACTTCATGCTTCTTTGCTATGATCGCTCTATATATTATATTTCCCCCACTACTTTCTCAAGTCACGTCTCTATTTAAATCCTATCTATTCATCTCCAGAAGCCCGTCTCAAATACCTTCTTATCTATAACACCTTTCCTAAGTCCTATTAAATAGATGTACTTTCCCTTCTTGATTGTATATGGCTCTTTTCGGGGCTTTTACTCTGAGGTAGTGAATTTTATATTCCTGGCTGTTTCTTATTACTAAATCCAAGCTCTCTAGGAAAGAAGGCCTAGGCCTCTCATCTGTGCACCCAAGATACTGCCCCGAATACAGCCCTTAGTACTACACATGATGCCCACCCTTAGTCTGTCAGCACTGAAAGGACATGCTGAACATGTCTAATCTGTAAATCTAAACTGCTACAAAGTCAGCAACGTGAAGCTCTGGCATGATAATGTAAGTAGGAAATTTGACATGTGACCTCACAACAAGCTATGGTCAGAACACAGCACACTAAACATACTGTAGAATGTTATATTCAGGTTAGATGCGTGTGTGAATGAAGTGTGTGTTTATACTTGAGTCTATTCCCAAAATATCTCATTATGCATATGCAAATATTCCAAAATCTGAAAAATCCTGAAACCAAAACACTCTGGCCCCAAGCACTATGGATAAAGAATATACAACCTGCATATTCAATTTGCATATTATTATTTTATATTTACTGTTATCTACCTAGCTTCATTTATAATACAATCTCAAATGTTAGGATAAACTGTCCACTACTTTTTAGTTTTCATGTGGTCTGGTATACTGTAAGCATACCATTAAATTTCATTCAAAATAAACTGACATATTAAAGCAAATTTAGAATAAACTAACTTATTGATTCTTAAAAGTTTTAGGTCATATAAACTAATTCAAAATAAAAATTCTGCTCATATTTTCTTTTAATCATTTGAAGAAATTATGTCAAAAATATTTAACAGCATTTGTTGTGTAATAGCAGGAAGAAAAAAGAAAGACAAAATCAGAAAACTACTAACAAAGATTTTATTTAAACTCTTAAAAAAATTCCCTTATAAGCCCTTTTCCTAATTGAATTACACTATTTCTGGGAATAATATTTAAAATATTCTTAAATTTAAGGAAATGTGAAATGTAAATTATCCTTAAACTGCAAACTTTTCCTTCCACCTCAAGTAGTTCTAATAGAAAGATTAATACTGAGGAAGAAGTGGTTGTTTATAAATGAAAGGAAAATAAATTACCCCCAATTCTTCTGGAAAAAAGAATAGCTGAAAATTAAAAACAAAAAGATCTAAAAATTTGAGTTTTTAATTATGAAAAAGAAGCATCTTGCATATAGTACATTTTTTAAAAAAGCACTGAAAATTCAAATGCAGACATCTGAATATAAAAGATGTTGCCAAACATTCAAACTTGTAAAGAAACATGGGAGAAAGACATAAAAAGAATAATGTATAAATTATGTACCTGTTTAAGTCTGGCAAGTTCCTTCAGAGCTCGTCCCCACTGCTGCTTGTAATGCAGTTTAGACTTAGTTGCAGATTCCAACTTCCTTTCAAGTTCAACCTAACAGTGATTAAGATCATATCAAGTGAAACACTATACCACTGTGTACAATCATTGAAAGATAATATATACAAAGAGTCTGGCTTAAGAAAAGAGTTTATATAGCGTAACATACGACATCATCTAAAACTGTTATATAATTTACTATAAATATTATGGCACATGAACATTTTCTTGTTTAAAATATAGTCTTATTTTTATTGCCTTACAGCCTATACTAAAAAGAACTGAATCAGTCTTAAACTCCAGACAGTTACTGTAAATGTATTTAAACATTGAGTGAAAAATACTTTTTTACAAAAAGCAGTTCTAGCTGTTAACATTCCAATTCAGCTGACACTTTAAATCTTAGAAACTAAACTTTCCTTTTGGAGGCCGGAGGCCTATCACTATGTGGAATTTTGTCTTACAACGAAGAGAGCTAGTACAGACACTTTTGTAACTATATTTTCGCAAAACCATGGAACCCTGCAAACTGAAATGTTTTATAAGAAAGCAATTTACTAAGAGAGTACAAAGTTAGAAATATTTTAAGAATGTTAAAATAAACCCAAGAGTCAGAAAAATAATGTTCCTTAATAACACACATCTCACTTTTTCCCTATTTTTCCTCAAATGTATAAAGAAAAACACTAGCATGATTCAATTAAAAAATATGGTTATTTATACTTGCAGCAGGCAATCTGTTGTGCATGAACTGAAGCCAACTTGGCTCTGTTTTGGAATGTACTCAGTGTTTCAAACCAAGTACCAAACAAATTCATGAAGCCAACAGACAGTTTTACTATTAAGTGATAATGTAATAATCTCCTTGAATTACAGTAAAACATTGTTACTTGGAATTGGCTGAATAATTTTTATATCAAGTCTAGTTTTTCCCATATATAAGACTCCAAAAATTTTACGGGAAAACAAATCGAAGACACTATAAAAATTTCAACTTCAGAAAACACATATGAAAATAAAATGAAAGGAAAAGTAGACTGCCAAATTCCCTTCACAAAAGACCAGAACATTTGCTTAGTAATATATGACTACATCAAGTCAAGGTCTTTTCTGCTTTATGAATCCCTAGTGCTTGGATTTAGCTGTGTTAACATTTCACAACTAGACTCAAGCATCTTAAGTTGAATAATATTGCTGAGATTATCAGAGATAATCTCTTCCACTTATGCCCCAGAGATTTATATATATTACTTGGTAATTTAACAACAGGCCATACCTCAGAAGAATAGAAAAAAAGTAGCTGTGGGATAAAGTAGAAGTCTTCAGCTGTAAAAAGAGATCAGGCCCATGGGTCTTGGGGAAGGTCTAGTATCCCAGGATGCGGCCTAATGAAGCAGTTCCACCAGGAACAACCAACTGGGTAGGTTCTATCTGTTTTGCCATACACAGTGCACATTTGCATATTATTTACACTAATTGAAAGCACAGGAAAGCTTCTATATATAATTTTATTGCTTTTTTAAAATTTTATTTATTTATTTTTTGGTGCCGGAGATCGAACTCAGGACCTTGTGCTTGTGAGACAGGTGGCAGAACCACTGAGCTAAATCCCCAGCCCCTTATAATTTTATTCTTAACACACCTGTAGACAGCAAATTGCAGACACAAACCTCATTTTTCTAATTTATTCCTATCACAACCTCAGTGAGCCTTTTATGTTTTTGAAGTATATACATGCTTCTGTGATTCTAAAGAAATATATAGACCCACTTCTCAGAAAAATGCACTGAACAAAAATTTTGATACAATTTTAGGACATTCAAAGACCTTGAGTTAATAGCCCTTATTGTAAGCAGATCTGAGACTTCTGGGAACCTCTGCAACTTGTGTTTTTATTTAAGGTGTCCTTGGTTCATGACTAAAGTAATGTACAAGACAAGTTCTATACTCCTGAAAAGACAATTCAGCTCAGGACCTAGAATCAAGAAGATTAAAAGCACAGATTAGCACTCACTGGTATCTTTGTCTATTTCCTATCTGTCCAATCAGTCACAGGGAACTACAGATTTTTCCTTTGATATATTTTCAAATTTTATTCATTTATATTCCTACTGATATTTCCTCAGCTCATCCCTTTGGGCTCATAAGCAGGTCTTGAGTATAAAAAGCTTTCTTCTCTCTCCAGCCTCAGATCTATCTACAAATCCTACAAACTAGTATTAAATTCATTTGCTCTCTACTAAACAACATGTGGCTACAAGGCTAAATCTCTACTCTTATGCCTAGGAGTCAATGCATTCCCCCAAACATGGTTTCCATACTTCTTGCTCAACTTGCATTTTCAGTCTTCCTCAACAGGAGGCAAACTACTGCAACCAAGTTTGTGACCCCATTCCCTAAATCGTTACTTCTTCAGCCTGCTAATTCTTTTTCTTCTCTGCTTGCCTAAATCTTAAGGCTCAGCTCAAATTTACCTGGACATAAGGTATCTTAAACTACTAGACCCTGAACATCAAATGGTTTCTCTTCATTGTACAGTTTCTATCACGTTCTTTTGTATCTAATTATTCAGTCATTCACTACTCTGAGTTATCTTCCTAATGAGTTAACAAATTACAGTGCTTAAAAGAAGTCCCAAAAGGCTACTATACTTTCACTCTCTTTCATCCTATCTTGCCCTAAGAGTAGATACGAAATGTTCTTAAACATACTATATAAATTTCAGCTTAAAAAAAAAAAAAATCTCTGGATTGTTTCAATGTGTTTTCTGTCTTTTCAACCTCTGTGTGCCCTACTAAATTATATGCTTTCGTTTTGAAGTCTCAATTTTCATATTATATAAAGAACATTCCTAGATAAAGGAAAATTACAAACTATTTACTACAAACTTCTTATATAATAAAAGGAATTGAGAATTACATTCCATAAAACTGTATCTTAATATTAACTAATTTTTAGAACCTTTCACTGCAAATAGGAATATTTGTGTTATACTGAAAATAATCAGAAAAGAAAAAAAAGCTGTTAATTAGATATAAATAACCAAAACGTTCAGAGCAGCTCAGGTATTTTTTCACTTATGTCTTTTTTTGTGTGCGCTCACCTCTTTTTTACTATTTAAAGAAATAAGATTCTGCCCTCTTCTGGCTCCAAAAAGATTTACAAAGAATTTTAAGAGATGAAAAGCTATTTTACAAGGTAATTAAACAGTAAACATTCATTAGTTCTAATACTGAAGCAGTTCTATTACATATTTCTCTTTCAACAAGTTTACAAAACTGTTAATACTTTTAATATGCTTAAATATTTTTATTCTTTTAATAAAATACAGATAAATTTAATCATTTAAAATTTATTTTTATGATGGATATTATCTAGTCAACCAGTACGTATTCAGAGATGACTAGGATAAGGCTTCTGTTATAAATTTTGATCTGTGATCTCTCAGTTTCCACCAGGTAAAGTGGAAATACTTTTTGGCACCTACTTAATATATCTTGTAAGAATTCACAATATGAGTACTTCAGGTATTCCTGATATACGGTAGGTAGGTCAGAAAGTTCATATTTACAAACAGAAATACTTTAATTCATCAAAAGACGGATAGGAAAAGTTGAGCTGGATTCAAGTTCACTGGCAGAAAAATGAAGAGATGGCCCAAAACGAATAAATGAAGAGACTGCCCAATATGTAAGAAACAGAATCAACAAGTATTGCACTTAAATGAGCATGGGAGCAAGAAGACCCACAGACAGCCTGGCATCTGACAAGCTGCAGAAACATGTTTGAGGCTCAGCAGGACTGGAGAGGAGCGATTCTTAGAAGTTACCCAGTTTAGCTTTGGATATGCTAGGGTATCTCGAAGACCAAAGTTGGGATCTTTAATGGTCCAGGAGGTCAGAACTATTTCCATGATAATGCTAAGACATTGTCTTCTCACTTGCATTCTTTTATGAGTGTACAGTGGAGGTTTCTAGAGGCTACATGTTTGACATCACAATGGACTGAATACAAAACTGGATATAAGAATTCAGCTGTCTTCTATGATCTAGACACTAAAGAGACTACAAAAAAGTCAAATGATGTTAATTCTCACAATTTTTTTGTTTCAGAAAATGGTTTCTTAATAAAAATGTCGTTTATGTTGTTATATTTATTATTTTAAAAGAATATTTTAAAACATTCTAGTTTTAACTTTTAATACAGTGGTAATCAATAGATACAAAGCACTTTGGCATTCTCACTAATTTTTAGTTACTAGATAGCCATCATTAGATAAACAAATTACTTTTTCTTAAGATGCTGGATATATAAAGTACAAAAAGTTAGAGAAATGTTCTAAGGCATTCAAGAAAGTATCATGAGTAGGCAAATGGTTGTATAGGCCTTAGCTAACAGTCGGGTCTTGTACTCTTACATACAATTTCTACACACTCATTGAGTTTTTTTTTTTTGGTACTGGGGATCGAACTCAGGTCCTTGCGCTTGCGAAGCAGGCCACCGAACCGCTGAGCTAAATCCCCGGCCCGAGTTTTTTTAAATATAAAGATTGAGTTGCTCTCCTACTTAAAACGCTTTAATGGCATCACATTATTTATTTACATTTTATATTTTAAGAAAAAAGTAAACGTTAAGGAAAATAAACACCACCCTATCTTCTGCACTAAGCACTGCACAGCTATGAAGTCATTTGAGTCCTTTACCAACCTTTCTAATCTCACCTTCAGAGATGAGCAAACCGATACAGAGAAGGCGGCACGGGAAGTGGCAAAACCCGGGCCGGAATCTCGCTGCTCCACACTGACGCCCTTAACTACTATCTTGCAAAACTCTTACTAGATTTAAAACAAAGCCTAAAGTCCTGGCCATGGCTTTAAAGGTCCATATTTTAAATCTCATCTACTGTATTCTCCCATCACACGGTAAAGCTGGCCTTTTCCCTCAAACGATCAGGACTTTGTCTCACCACAACTCCTTTGCTCCCCAACACACTTGCCACACAAATCCCAGTACCTACTGAAAAAACTTATCTTGTCCATTGGATGTTACACACTTGTTGATGTCTAGGCCCTGCACATTCTGTTTGTGAGGGAATCTTAATATAAACGAGATGCAGGACCTGACTTGCAACCACAGAAATCAAAATAGGATGGCTATCCCTTCTTCCAAACGGAAAGCTAGGGGTCTGTGACATAAACGAACACTCTGGTCTAAGACACCAAACCTAGACAGTAGCGATACATAAAAAATATTCACAACAGCTACCACAAAACTGACAATTCAGTGGTATGACGATGACCACAACCAGAAGACACAGAATCCAGTGACATGGCAGTAATGGCATCCTCACTGGGCTGTGTGACCAAAATACTGGCTGTGCCTTGCTCTCCTGCCCATAATTTAAAACTAGTTCTTCAGCCTACTTGCCAGTTTTGTGAATTCCTGTATTTTCTACATGTTTGCGCTAATTAATGTAAGCTACAATTGACATAATGTAACAAATTTAAGTACTAACAATGTTCTGCCTTGAATTCTGACACATTCTTATTTGCTATTAGAACAACATTAAAATATTATTAAATTGTATGACACACATTACTTACTGATGTTATAAATTAATGGGACAAGTTAAGTTGCCAAGAAATTAACAGGGTACCTTTTCCAAGGTGAGAAGATTTATTTCAGATTGTAGATGGATTTCTGGTTTGTTGCTCTGCTGATCCTTGAACTGTTGGAACTCTTTTTCCAAAGTCTTATACTTATTTTCAGTATCAATAAGCTGTATTTTAAAAATATTTAGGCATTTACAAACAAATCTCAACAGCACTTTTATCTTATTCTAAGGCATGTTCCTATAGAAAATTCAAAAAATAAAATAATCATGAATGAAATGATATGTGTCAGTAATTTTAATAGGTAAAAAAAACTGAAGGGGAAAGAACTAGCGAGCTAATCAGTAGCACAGGCAATACTAGAATTCAAAGCTCTTCATCTAGAGTAAGGCTCTAATGAAAGCAGTGAATCCTTCATAAATTAAAAACAGAGGGGTAGATTGCGTTAACTAACATACAACTTCCTTTTAAATGGTTTAAAAGAAAAAGAGGGCATGCAGCTATTTTTTTTTTCAAATCTGAGGGTTTTAAAAAATTAAATGCAAGCTAGAATCATTAGATATTCTTTCCAAAAACACATACTGATATGACTTTCCATCATTAGGTAAACCAATTTTTTTTTTCTGTTTAAAATTTAACTAAAGTTGAAATACTCAGAAAATCTGTGGCAAATGGAACTGAAATTATCACTCACAAAAATACTTCTAATCAGGATGTATCTAATTTCTTTAGGTAACAAGCTGCTCTGTGCATGCAGTTTCCATACACCTGAAGTTTACTTCTTTTAACATTCAAAGTTGAATAGAAACCATTACTTTTCTGTTTTAAACAAAAAGCATAATAAACTTAACATCATATTTGCAGTTTAGGTACATTACCATGAACAATTACTGTTGTAGAAATCAGGATATAAAGCAGCAAGCTGCCAAGACACACAGGTTCTTTTTCCTTTGCTAACTGGTTCATTAACTACAGTGCTTTTGAGGTATTATACCTAAGCTTTTCTCTATCTGAATACAGATACACAGACACTTTATCTTCATCTGCTACCACTGACTTTTTTTTTTGACATTTAATTAAACAATTAATTGTCTACTTAAACAGTTGTATATATAATACATATAGCTTGGAATAATGGCATAAGAGTTCCTATACATAAAATTGTGAAATGTTGCTATGGTTTACATCTCAAATGTCCTCTAAAAGCCGAGGATTTAGCTCAGTGGTTCTGCCGCCTGCCTTGCAAGCACAAGGAGCCGAGTTCGATCCCTGGTACCAAAAATAAAAGCATAAATAAAGTCCTTTCATATGTTCGGAGGGTGGCTGGAGCACGGGGAGGCTATGCTCAGTGGTGGACGCACCTACTGATGAGTCAGCAGCTGAATGTATCACTTGAAGACGGGCCCTGGCTGAAGATGGCTCACGTGACTCGGAAGGTTGCATTCTTGTCCCGGTACCTCCGCTCTCTCACTCTGCTTTCTGGCAATCAGGTGTGAGCAGCTTTGCTCTGCCAGGCCCTTTTCCCACATTGTATCTGCCGTGGAGCAGCCCTCCCATGGACTGAAGCCTCTGAAACTATGAGCCAAACGAACTTCTCCTTCTAGCTGTAGGCTTCGTGTATTTTGTCCCAGGGATGTGAAAGAAATACAGAAATTGGCAACAGAGAAGTGAGGTTGCTGCTGTGAGTATGTCTTGACCATATGGTTGAAGGGCCTTGGATTTAGCTCACTCACTGGTTTTGAGGCCTGCCTTGCAAGCGCAAGGTGCCGTATTAGATCCCAGGTAGCAAAAAAAAAAAAGGATATGGTTCAAAAGCTTTTGGAACTCATTTGTGGAAAGTTTAGCAAGGTTTGGAGTTAACAGCTAGAGATTTAGAATGCTTAAGCCAAGCCTGACTACTGGGTAATTCTGGTTGCAGCTTGGAAAACCAGCATGCTAACAGGAATATGAACAATAAAGGCCATGTTTAGGAGGTTTCAGCTGGGAATAAGGACTCCTTTGACAGTTAAAACTAGAAGTCACATATGTTACACAATGACAGAAAATTTGTCTTCATTTTGACTATGTCCTGAGACTAGGAGACTGAGATTAAGGGTGGTAGACTAACTGATCTAGTGGGTAAAATCTATAAGAGCAAACCAATGTTCAGGCTGTGGCATGGGTACTGCTGGCTGCTTTTAGTCAGGTCTATAGTGAATCAGGAGGTGAAAATTTGTCTTCATTTTGACTATGTCCTGAGACTAGGAGACTGAGATTAAGGGTGGTAGACTAACTGATCTAGTGGGTAAAATCTATAAGAGCAAACCAATGTTCAGGCTGTGGCATGGGTACTGCTGGCTGCTTTTAGTCAGGTCTATAGTGAAAATCAGGAGGAAAAAAAAAAAAAAAATCAACAGTTGAACGATTTGATAAATTTGCAGCTTGGCCAGAAAAGAAGCATCTGCAAAGTTGAAGCCTTGGAAAATATGGTGCAGAAAAGATTACTATTAAAAAGAAGCCAAGTACTTTGCAGTGGGACAATAGGAAAGATGGCTTGAAGTCTATCTTAGGAATCATCAAGACCCCACCTATCACAGGCTCAAGGGTGCAAAAGCTAAAGACTGCATTAAGAGAGGCCCAGGGAGTTTAGATCATTTGGTGCCACTTGTAAAAGTGTTTCCCAGGGTTCAGCCTGCCATCCATGCAATCAAAGGCCACTGCAGCCACAGTCCAAAGAGGGCAGACCTTGGCATCATCCACGTGCTGTTAGTTTTTTAAGTATGCAAAATATAAGTTATGGGGTCACAGAGGCTTCCACCAAGATTTCAGAAGGAGGCCTGGGAAGCTTAACAGCATTTAAGTGGGCAGCAATTTTGAAGGTGAAACCAAAACTGCATTCCCAGCAAATTGGATGTGCCAGGAACATACAATATTTGCTAAGGAAAGCTTTTGGCAGTGAGGCCAGGGCCAGCCTGGGAGATAAGCCATGGGGTTGCTACTGGCCGTGCTGTGGGGGGGAGCAACCAAGCCCTTTAGAGGTTGTATCTCACCACAACCTGCTCTGGGTACTGGACACATAGCTACAGGACTCAAAATTTAGCTTGCTGGGTTTTGGTCCGATTCTTTGCTATCCTCCCATTTCTACCTTTGGGAATGGGAACATTTACCATGTATGGTGGAAGTGTTTAACTTTCTCTTTGATTTCTTACCAGGGCTCACAGTTGAATTTGCCTTCAGATAGAGACTTTGGGCTTGGACTGTTGAGGATGCTGACATCTCAGAGATGGACTAAAATGCATTTTGCACACCAAGAAGGACGTCAGCCTTTTGAGGGCCAAGGGCAGAATGTTGCACTTTATATCTAAAATTTCCTCCCAATGTCTCATGTGTTTGGAAGGTGACTAGACTGTGGGGGTGCTATACTCTCATGGGAGTCTTAGGAGGTAGCGCCTGGCTGGAGACAGGTCACTGTGGGTGTGACCTGGATGTGTGTATTCTTGCCCCAGCTCTCTCTCAGTTTCCTGACTGCCATACTCTTTTATCATGCAGTCCCCATCTTGGAGAGTGCCAACCATGAACTGAAGCAACTGAACACACTGACAGTGCAGGCCAAAATAAACTGACCTCTCTTCCTTTAAGTTGTGAGTCCTGGCATTTTATCCCACAGACAGGAAATCTGAAAATTACAAATCTGTTTGTTCGTTTGTTTGTTTGTTTTTGGTACTGGGGATTGAACTCAGGTCCTTGTGCTTGCAAGGCAGGCCACCGAACCGCTGAGATAAATCCCTCGCCCTGAAAATTACAAATCTGTATAGACACAGACTTAGCAATCTGGCATCCTGGAAATTTCTTGCTTCCCAGTTGGTCTTAGAACACTGGTGAAAAATTAGCGGTATGTCCTCAGTAATTTTTTAAAAACTACCAGTTCATCCTACCAATACTCCTCTTACAAAACTTTTAGCTAATTATACTAGTATGGTATAGGGTGTAGATGAGTATCTCTGGTGATTCTAATACACGTTAAAAGCCTTTATTCTAGATGGCTAGATATTCCTGATAAGTAGAAGAGAAGAATTACCAGTGACTATCATGACAGCTACCCACTTCTACAACTTCTTAGTATTTTAAATGAGAACCCACAGTGACAATCAAATTTATCTTTAAAGCCATGTACATAATGTGAGTGTTACTGACCCTGAGCCACTGTAGAAGTTGTTCATGACAGTAAGTACCGAGGCATTATCATTACATTTAATCTACACTGAAAGTTTTCAAGAAAGATAAGCTTAATTTTTAACAGCTTAATTTTTCCCCCTGCAAATATTTACTGAATCTTTATCACTGTTGACAACTGGCTTGGGCTCCAGGATTATGGCTGTAAACCAAAATGGTGTTTATGGAGCAAACAATCTGACACTGATTAAATTATCATGCTAATGAAATTAAAAACTGATAGAGCCTAGAGAAGAAGAGTAAGAAAGTAATTACCCCATGAGAATATATAACAAACAAACTTGACTTAAACTTGTGCGTAGGGGTCAGGAAAGATTTCTTGGGGTAAATGATGCTTTAGCTGAAAACAAAGCTGACAGAGTTGAAAGGGCCCAGAAAAACAGCACACGTGAAGACCGTGAGGGGAAGTGGCCGTGGCATGTTAGAGGTGCTGACAGGAGAGCAATGCAGCTGGAGAGTACACAGCAGGTACGGCAGAGTGGGAGAGAAGTTAAAGAGACAGGCTGGATTCAAATCATATACAGGATTGCGGGCAGTAAGGACACAACACAATGTGTTAAAGAGGAGGATATCATAGTTCCAAAATTTCAAAAGTACTCTGGCTGCAACATGAGATTAGAAGGGCCCTCCCCTGAAATTACAAACACAGAAAAACTGGGTATGGATTAGAAAAACACCTTGGGTCTAAAATGTCTTTAAGACATCTTTAAGCAATCTTGTCTATGGAACTACAGGCAAAACAAAGGTCTTAAATATAAATGTGAAAATCTCCGATACACAGATTATCTCTGAATGGCATGGACATAGAAAAGATTATTTAGTGGAAAGTAAGTTCTGAGCTTGAAGGAAGGGTGGCTAGAAAGATGGCAGAAAACAAGAAGAGTGATGGCACAGAAGTTAAGACTATACAAAAACAAAAACAATAATGTTGACAGTGTGAATAAATTTCAGTAAGCTGAGAAATGAAAACGCTCACTGAACTTGGTGCCTCAGCCGTTGGTGGAGTCTAACCAACGGCTGACTGGAGCAGGACACACAGAAAGCAGAGTGCGGTGGGTTAAGAGGTGACTACGAGGTGAAGAAATGGACAATTCTCTCAAGCAGTGTAGTTCTTTGCTGAATTTGGTCCAGTGTTACATAAACATCTATATGTGCTAAAAGGAGATTTATCAGAAAAACATTTTACATTGTAAGTCACCTGAAATAATTCCTTCACATAGTGATACAGGAGAGGAAATTATTCTACCACAGCCTTAGCTTTAGCACAGAAAAAGAAGACCCAACTTAAAAGTAAATTTGAATCTCAATGCAATAAATATGATAAATAATCCAAATCACAGTGAATGTCATCACCTTTTCATGACCCTTGTAGAATGAAATAGGCTGTAAGAATAATAAGATGACAACCTGCTGCTGAAGTCGGTGTTTGTCTTCTTGCAGCTGCTTGATCTTTAACCTCTCCAGCTCCACTTGGTGAATGCAGTCTTCTCTGACCCGACGGACAGAGTCCTGAAGCTCCTTCAGGTTCTGTTCACGTTCTGATTGCAATTCCTTTTTCTCTCTTTGAAGCTTAAAACAAAAGCATCTTTAAGACTCTGGCTTATCACTAGCTGCATTATACTGCTGAGCAGTGTCGTATTCTTATTTTCTAACAAATATTCAGAATATTTTTACATTCTTTTTAATTATTGTAATTTAAGTAACTGATTCTATAGTTTTCAATTGTCACTTCAGAAGAATATAAAAATCTGGGCCAGGGATTTAGCTCAATGCCTCGCAAACACAAGGACCCAAGTTTGATTCCCGGTACCAAAAAAATAAAAAATAAAAATCCATGTATAACTGGTATAAATTCAGTTGAAAACACCCTAATCATTTAAATTTCTCATTTAAATACAGTCCTTTTTATTGTAAAAGCAAATACACCTGAGTTTCTTTTCGGGGTTTTTTTTTTTTTTTTTGGTACTGGAGATCGAACTCAGGACCTTGCACTTTCAAGGTAGGCACAATGCCACTGAGCTAAATCCCCAGCCCCCAAGTTTTTTAGTTTCTTTTCTTCTGTTAGAGACTTCTGATGGGCCAGGGATTTAGCTCAGCGGTTCAGTGGCCTGCCTTGCAAGCGCAAGGACCTGAGTTCGATCCCCAGCACCAAAAAAAAAAAAGAGACTTCTGATTATCTGCCTAATCACTTAGCAGACATATTTAGGTTTAAACATCCAAATCATTTAGAAATCCGAGAAACTGTAATAATAAGGTTAGGGTGATCCACAGGAAATTTTCAGAAACATTGTGGTTAGACAAGTGACATATACATTTTAAAATTGTAGTTATTTAAAAATGAACATTATGGAAAGATTTTAAGGGAGCATTTAGTTAAGACCTGTTAAAATGTTAAGTAGGCATAATACTAACATAAGGCATCATACTTTCTTGTGATCTTTAAGAGGCAAGAAATGGAGAAATTCTCTTTTCTCTGAAAAAAAAACTAGGATTGTATGCCCATGTATTTATGTTCTATTTTCTCTAGACAGTGCAACAAACTATTCTCTGTATATAATGGGAAAGTGAACTAAAAACTTCCACTATTATAAGTCAGCCAAAGTTAGCTAAATGAGTTAACTATTTCAAATAATAAACACTTTTCCATCTCCCCCGGCATAGGAAACATGCCTTATCTAGCTAAACAGCAGACTTCTCCACCGTGTTTGAAAAATAATTCCATGGAATATGCTGTATTAAGGAAGAAACAAAAATAAGTAAATTGTACAAACTTTACAGATTCTGTGTAATAAGGATTCGACAGGTAGTGAGGCACCTCTGATTCTGCACCGGCGAGCTGCTGCTCTCGCTTCTCTAAGTCGATTAGGGTTCGTTGGAGTTTTCCTTCCAGAATACTGTACTCAGCCACCTACACATAATAAAAAAGGTGTTTTACATTCTCCTCATATTAAAAATAAACAACTTTAAAATACACATTTCACTGAGACAGGATCTGAGAATAGGAAAGGGTCAATTTACATGCACCAATTTAAAGCAGAATTCTTACTGTTCCTTTACAGAGATGACTATCATGCTTCTACTTGGACATCTCTTAGTGTATTTAGTTTCCCAAGGAAACCCATTCTCCTACTGGGCAATCAGAATGATAGCAAAATCTTGTGTCAAATTGAAACTTCGATCTTTAAAATCTTCCAGTAGCTCTCTGAGCCTCTCAGTCACTTATACTCTCATCTTAGAACTGATCCAGTTGCTAGATAAACGAGTCAGCTACAAATCAATTCTTGTTATGACTTTTGTGTGTTCCCTTCAAAGCCTCATGTGGTCACACGTGGGGCTTTTTAGAGGTGGCTGGGTCTAGAGTGGGTGATGCTGGGATTAAGAGTGTGTGAATATTAAATTAGTTCAATGACTGTCTATGGACAATGAGAAGGCCCATCCTGGTTGTGGATGCTACTTGCCCCAAGGGCTTGTAGTCTAGATAGAATGTAAAAGACAGAAAGAGAGCTTATGCTATTGCGTGTTGCTTGCTGTATTCTGCCTGCCATGAACTGTTTTCCCTCTGAGATGCCCCTCTGCCATAACACACTGCCTTGGTGCCAGTCAACTATGAACCGAAACCTCAATACACTGTGAGCCAAATAAACTTTTCCTCCTTTAAGTCAGGTATTTTGTCTCAGCAATGAGAAAAAGTAACTAAGATAGTTCTATTATTTCTGATCTGATGTTTTACCATACTCAAGTAATTGGGTTTCTGATTGAACTTCTAGTCTACTACTTCAATTTCTTTAGGCCTAAAGTCTCTCTTTAAGGACAGGAGCCCTATTCAGGATAAGAAGCCTACCTGTTCAGTCTATGCAGGATGCAGGACTTACTTGGTTTTCTATCTTTCCATTTACACTAATATTATTTTACTAGGACTTTCACAACCATTTTTTTTTTCTTTTGCCTTCAGCCCCAAGTAGTCTCCAGGTCCCAGATCCCCATCTTGATCTTTTCCTTCATACTGCCTCAAGATCCCTAGTTTAATGCTCCTTAGAAACTGACACTTTAATCTTATTTCTGGCCTGGGACAGAGAAAATATATACTCCCATATCTGAAACTGGTGATGACTGTCACACCTCTTCCTGTTTCTCCTTCAAGATGAACACACTGCAGTCAAATTCATACATTATGATTTCCATATTCTCTAATTTCTTTAATTTAGGATCTAAGTATTTCAGTAAATTCTTTAAAAAATGATGCCCAGATGTGATCTCACAAGTTTGAGACAAAAGACTGTGTACTGCCGAAGTCTAGGATAACCCATGTCTAATAATTAATAATAATTAATTCTTACTAGGACATTGGCCTCAGTGGTCTGTGTCCTAGTTTCCACTCCCACTTCATCTGTCAATGCATTCCAACCACATTGGCCTCCTTGTGATTCCTCAAAACGTGCTAAGCTACCTCTTTGGGATCTATGGAACATCTTCCTTCAGAGAAACTTTTTATATCTGCTCAGAAAATTCTATAATGGTACATAATTCTACAAGTCTAGATGCACAAGAGAAATTTAACTCATCACCAACAATGCCTTAGGGCAAGAAGGCTTCATTCTCTCAGGCAGCCCTGACTGGAAAAGCCTACACCGGATCTAGTCAAGACTCCTCCAAATGGAATATATGGTCATTCAGCCCCTCACCTGTCAACCTGGCCTACCCTATTTTTTGAGGCACTCCTGTCCTTCCCTCCTCCCCAATCAAACCACAATTTTCTTAATGGAGGGCTTATTTCAAACCTCTGTCTTCATTAAAGGGACTTTCTCTCTTTGAAATACTCTTTGGATTTACCTGGTGATAGCTACTAAGTTTCCCTCAAGTAAAAACATGATCTTATCTATGAAACACTTCTTCATGTCCCTTACTTAGCCGTCCTTTGTGGATACATGACACTATCTTTGGCTTTTTGACAGGCAGTCACAATTAGGCCAGAGTAAACATGATCTCAACTGACTCAGAAGACTCTGCAGGGGAAGCAGGTTAAATACTCTTTCAGGTAAATTTTCAAAGTATTAAAGAAGTTAATACAATGTTTCAAAAAGCTTAAGTTGAAAAAACTAAAAATAAGGCCAGACATTTAGCTCAGTAGTTCTGCCTGCATCACACAAGCCCAAGGTCCCGAGTTTGATTTACAGTACCAAAAAGCATCAACAAAAACAACCTAAAACTAAAAACAACAGAAATATAAATATATTCCATTATAGTCATATAAATATGAATACATACATACTACAGTGAGACTCTCAGAGAGTTTGGGTTTAAAAGATTTCATCATACTAAAAAAAAACTACTTGTTTTTTCCTTTTGACTTGATATCTTAAAGACCAATCAATATGTTAGCACATCCTAGTTCACGATATTCTTTCAAAATGGGGCATTTAATGACAAATGAAGTATTTGGCCTCAAAATGCAAACAGGGTGGAAGAAAATGGCAAATTCAAATCTATGTTTTTCAATGACTAATTCAAATAAATGGCTCAACTACTTATCAGGCAATCGTCATGATCTGTGTACAGGCTGGAGTTGCAGCAGATCATCAACACAAGCTAAAATGGTGGAATACATGGAAATCAACTAACGTTCTAAACTTGCACATTAGAAATTTCATTGTTAGGCTTGTTGCAGTCAATACAAGTACTGCATAAGTGAACAAATATTTAACTTTTGCTTTCTAGAGTAAGATTAGATTACCTGGTTTCACATTATCAGTTTTAAAGGTGCAATTTACTTCATGATTTGATTCTAAAAATGTCTCAAAAGCTTTTGAGGTTTTTAATTACTGATAGGCTATAATTTTCATAGATACTTAATATGTGCTTTTTCTTTCTCACAAAGAGGTAAGCTTTTTCTCTACAATATTCATTTTTTAAAATTAATGTATTTTTGAATTGGTAATATATGTGCATATTTCAAAACTCAAAAAATACACTAATTTCACCTTGCAGTGAAAAGCCTTTCTCTTGCCCTGACCTGTCCTTTCATTTCCTCCATGGCAACACACACCCACTATAATGAGTTTATTCCTTCTGGACATTTTCTTTAATAGAGAACAAGACATCAGCACTGATACGCTTCCCCGCTTCCTTAGATGTCCCAAGGTGTTACCTTCTTCTTCACTAGTGACTCTCTCTCCCTGTCCCTCTTTCTCCATTCCTCTGCCAGAGCTTGCATGTGAGCCAGTTCTTTCTGCTTTAGCTACAAAAGCAAGAAAAAGTCACTGTCAACACACTCCGCATACTTCCAGGAAACACAACACTTATTTCCAGTTAAGGAACTAATACTGATCACTAATATTTTTTTCAGGCATTCTATTTTATTCTTTTAAAAATGGAGCCTGCTTGAGGAAAGTACCACATGAGTGTAATTTGGGAGAATATAAAGCTAAGGGTAAATTCTGTTTTCTAGTCTCTTGCTTGGAGACTGACGATGCCGGGTTCTGCGAGGGTATAATGAATGATAACCTGAAATTAAAAGAATGACCTTCACTCTTAATTCTGCCCAATAATAATGGGAAATATTTAGAGAGATCCTTCTGAGAGGCATTAACCAAATCGTCTTATTTCAAGTAATTTTTATTCTCAATTTTTCTTTGTGAGTAGGGCATTACTGTCATTCAAAGAAACTAGACAGGAACATGGAAAGAAAATCCAGCCATAGAGAAGGAAATATATACTAAGAAAACAAAATAGACTTTTAAAGTAAAATTTAAAAAGTAACCTGATTTTCAAAAATGTCTTCTTGCACTTCCTTCCACATTTCCAGCTCAAGTGCTGCTTTGTACTCTAGCGTTTCACGAGGCTCTGTTTGGATCTCTGAGGGACAAGGTGCTGGAGGAAGAGAAGACAGCTTCTGCTGCCCAGCAGGTAAACCCTAACACATGAATGGAAAAGTACATTTAAAACACACCACATTCATACAATAGGTTTCCTTAAAGGAATAACTGGATAACATTTGATTACCTTTACCTGAGATGAATCAGAGACAAAAATCTCACGCATTTTTACTAGTCCATAATCTTCTAGAGTCACTGTGTAGGAAAGATCTACTATCCTGTTATTTGACCTACAAACGAAATAAGAAGTATCTTCAAATTCACAGAAACATTTTTATAACATCTTTTCTTTTACTTCCTCTGTGCTGTAGTGTTGAGGAGTATGCAACATTTCTTGCAACTGATAGGCCATGGTGGCACACGCCTGTAATCCCAGCATTTGGGGGTGGGGCTGAGGCAGGAGGTTTTCTGTGAGTTCGAGACCAGCTTGGGCTACATAGTGAGTTCCAGGTCAGTCTTGACTACATAGTGAGATGCTGTCTTAAAAAACCAAAAAACAAACAAACAAACAAAAACCACCATTTCTTGCACCTGATACTTGCTGCTGAAATTACAGTAGCTCTGTAGGGTTCAAAACTTCCATATTACACAATTTTACTTACTCACAAATACCCTGATAAATGCATAATCTATATTTACTACATAATACCTAAGCAGTTGCATATTTTTTAAAATTAAAATTATAAAAGATGAAATTAAAACTCTTCCTTCCCACATGTAATATCGCTAATACTGAGTTTCGTCCCGTCTCCCTGTCTCACTCACATGTAGACACACATACTAGCAGACACAGAGCTTTTTGTCTTTTTCCATTTTATATCAGAAGCATTTTCTCATAAAAAATTAAAAATGTGGATGCACACACATGCACACGTTTATGTGTTTTCTTTAATGGAGGAGATCTAACTCAGGACCTCACACATGCTAGGAAAGCACTCTACCACTGAGCTTGACCTCCAACTTCAAAATATGTTTTTTCACTGCCTATGAAATTATATTAATGAACTTATGCATTAAAATACACTTAACAGTTCTCTACTTTTGATCACATAGGTTATTCTAATAGGTTTTTTTGGTGTACTTTTACGGTAAGTATTGTCTCCAAGTATCTCCTAGAAGATACTTACATATTATTTTGACCATACCAAGCACATAGCATAGAACTATGTGTAGTATTTATCATCAAATAATAAAATCAAGACAAAACACTGGAGGAACATAAATTCTCAGCAACTAAAACAACTTTTTTAAAATCAAGTAATTTCAGTCAAGCAAAACTTTAATAAATGGATCTCATACAATTAGATTTCTTAATTCACAAACTTTTACATTGTATTCTCCTACTCACACAAATTCTGGAAGAAATGAATAAAGTAAAATGAAGCACTACTATATACAAAAAAACATCCTGAGTATGTCTGATGTTGTTATGCAGATAAATCTCCTTCAATGTCTCTACTTACAAAGTAGGGCAATACAAATAATATTTATAACAGGCAGCATTTAAAAAACTTCAATTAATGATCTGATTATATTCTATTTATGATGACAGAAATTAATGGTGATTTTTAAGGGACTTTTTAGTAAGAGGAGACAAAACAGAAAAAACTCTGTTAACCAAATGTTTGATTACCCAAGATAGCTGTTTCCATATCTTGCAAATGAATAAAATTTTAAAAAAATCTTTCAGTCTCTGCAAGTAGCTATGGATGGAGAAGACTAAGAAAAGAAATTCCAAAAAAAAAAAGAAATTCCAGTAAAACATTTAGATCTAAGTCTTTTATTGAACCTTATTTTAACATTCTTGCTATGTTTCAAAAACAGACAAGTGACAATGTTAAACTGAATTTGAAATTTTATTAAATTTAAAATGACAATATGTTGACTAAAATATATGAAAATTTCAAGTTTTTCATTGTGGAAAAAATATTTTTTATGTGTGGAATTGGGGACTGAACCAGGGCTGGGTGTATGCTAAGCAAATACACTATAATTAAGCCTCACACCCTTCCAACCACTTACTTACTTACTTACTTACTTACTTATTTATTTATTTATTTATTTATTTATTTGCAGTTCTGGAGATCAAATCTGGGCCTTATACATACTAGACAAACACTTTACCACAGAGCTACTCCCTAGCCCTCAATAATTTATATTAGTTTAAAACCTGCCTCTGGATGGGAATATAGCCCAGTGACAGGGTGCTCACCTAGTAGACTAAAGGCCCTGGGTTTGAACCCTGGCACCAAAAAAGAAATAAAATAGAAATTAAAAGCTGCTTCTACTGACATTTGTAACATTCTCAGACTTTAGATTTCAGACATGCATTAAAATACTCTTCAAGGGGAAAAAGTCAGAGCTGTCTCAATGCAAAATAATGTAAAATGACATTATTAATCTAACTTTAAAAGAAGAACATAAAGCAGATCCTAAAATTTAAAACCGTCAGGCTAAGGAGAGAAACTACTTTGTAAGAATTACTGTAGCAAAGACTCTTTACTTCTGTGAAGTAAAATGGGTACCAGAAAGTTAAGGAGTAACCTGGAATATAGAGCTCATAGGTCAAAGAAAAAAAAAATCAGCAAAAAGAGGATCTGGTAGGATCAGGCTGTGAGGTTGTGGCTCTTTAACTGGAATCATTCCATGAATAAAAGGCAAAGTCAAAACAAACTCTGTGAAGTGCATTACCCTTGTGCTGCTATAACAGGCACACTCTCACTGTAAGTCTGACGCCAACACTGTTCACCGTTAGAGCCTAAAAAGCGAGTTTTTTCTGAAGACAAGATGTTAGAGAGCTGGATTCTTGAGATCCCGAGAAGTAAATCTTTACTCATTTTGTCCTTATGCCATAATTCAACCAGCAAAGGTATCCTAAGAAAAAGAGAAACGTGTTCTTATTTATGAACTTTGAATCAAAGTCTTTACTTGCCTAAAGTTTGAGTACCCTTAATGGAGTCAAAGACATTTTTGTTACCTGCAGAGTCATTACGTAAAGGCTTAATTCAACTGGTGAGAAATATGAAGTACTGTTAGGTTTTCTACACCTCTCTCTAGGTAATACAGAAAATTCTTAAAATAACACTATCCCCACAAATGGTCAGATTATTTGTAGCAAAACTTCATTCTTCTTTCCAATATTGGGATTGAGATGCTATGAGAAAGTAAAAGATCGCAGAGATCTTTTACTCAGAATCTATTTCAGATGGCCAGATTAACATCTCCAATATACAAATGAAAAAAGAGGATCAAGTAACTCACTACAGCCATCAGTGCATCAGTCATTAAATGACAAATTCTTATTTATCTCTTTACATTCAAAAAGGCAAGACCTCCTTGCAAAGCTCTCTCATTACTCAGATTATCTTACCAAAGTTCAAATATCTAAAGTCAAAAATGAATAAGGAAAATCAGAAAAAACTTTAGTGATAAACCACATATACCTGTAGTAAAAGCACAAATAACACAGACATCATAAATTTGTCTCTTGATTCTCAAATGTATAAACCTCTGTGGAGTTAAACTACATAAATCCCTTCTTTTAGTAAGACACAAACTTCTAATAACTAAGAAATGAAAATACACACAGTGTATACACAACCTTAGGAAGGTATCTTGCAGCTGATGAGGCAGAGTTGCAAAATCAAATGCACAATAAGACTGGGGGAGAAAAACTTCCATGTTTTTCCGAATTTCCACCGGAGGATTGGTCATAATAGGAGCTGCACTTCCAAAAAATGGATACGAATACCTAGAATTTAAAAAATACATAGTCTTACAATGTAGTCTACAATGAGACTCATAGTCTGGTTTCATTCTATATTTTATAAGAACATATAGAAATCTAAAATTTAAACAGTATTAATACAAATGCTGTTCCTAAAAAAAAAAATCCTGTGCATTTACCCAATTTCTATACACCCACCAAGTCAAGTCCTCTCAGAGAGAGTTCATGTCCTAGGACTTCAACCTCTACCATGGCTACCAGATCCAGTGACTGCAATAACAGACTGACATAAGGCCTGCACGTTAAACTTGTTCACAAAACAGTCTTATCTCACAAAATTTGTAACACAATTTACAAATCACTTTCATACCAATTCAGAGCACCATAATCAAAAATTTACCAAGCTGAGAATAAATGGCTAGTAATTTTTCAAAAGTGCCTTAAATGAGGGGCAAGGATTTAGCTGAGTTCGATGCCTGGTACCAAAAAAAAAGATCAAATCGATCAAAGACAGACCCAGCAACTAGTGAATTCTATGTAGTGTTAAATGGGTTGCAACTATTTATCTCTTGTTTAGATATTATTTCCCTTTACCAGATGAACTACTACCCTCCCTTATATATTACTAACTTGTGAATCTGTCCTCCTCAGTAAGTTGAGCCGCCTATGGAGCTTATGTATCTTTAATGGCAGCCACTGCTGGAATAATGTAGGCACTTTTAATGATTACACAAATGGTTCTGATGGCAAGAAGTAAACACAAAAATTTAGATTCGTGTTTTCTACGTAAGCTTAATTATACCTTCTAATCTTATATTCTGCCTGTGTCTGTGCTCCTGGCCAACATCCATACGGAGACCAGACTCCCTAGCAGAAGAGAGACAAGGGATGAAAGGGGAAAAGACAAACCAGAGCAAGTAACACAAAAAACAAATACTTTGAGAAAAATTATGTCTGAGGGAGAAAATAGTCTTCAACTTCCAAATAAAAACATTTTTATAATAAGCCAGCATTTAACTGTAAACCATAGAACTTAAGCTGAGACAGGACTTTGATTCTGTGAATTCAGGTTCTTTCTTAGTGTTAGGTCCCTCTGATTCTACTCATAACAAAGAATAGAGGATTTGAAAACAAGGAAGAAGCAAATAATTGAAAACTCAGATGCAAAGATGAGTTGACTTACCACATTAAAAGTGGGTATGCCTCAAATAACAGCAGGAAACAATGTGTAGCTAAGGAGACCCACAGGAGTACCACTTCAAAAGGACAAAAATTTTCTCACTTTAAGCATCACAATCCCAGATTTCATGTTTAAAAGAACTACAGTGACAGAAATAGCTTGGTACGGGCACAAAAACAGGCATGTGGATCACTGAAACAAAACAGACAAAGCAGGAACAACCCCAGGAACATTCAACTATTTGATCTTTGACACAGGGGCCAAAAATATACACTGAAGAAAAATAGCCTCTTTAAAAACTGGTGCTGGGAAAACTGGCTGTCCACATGCAGAAGACTGAATTTAGACCCATATATCTTGCTATGTACTAAACTAAAACAAAAAAGGATCAAAGACACACATACTAAAACAGAAACAATCTGTTACAAGATAAAGCAGGTAAAACTCTTAAAGACACAGGCATAGGTGAGAACTTTCTGAAAAGAACCCCAACTGCACAAGAAGTATCATCAAGAATTAACATACAGGATTATACAAAATTAAAAAGCTCCCGCCAGGGATTTAGCTCAGTGGTTCCATCACCTGCCTTGCAAGCTCAAGGACCTGAGTTCAATCCCTGGTACCAAAAAAAAAAAAAAAGCTCCAAATAGCAAAGAAAACTACCAAGAGTGAAGAGGCAACCTACAGAACAGGAAAAAAACAAAAAGACAACAACAACAAAAAATCCTGCTAGCTATTCCTCAGACAGAGGACTAATATCTAGCATTTATACAGAAATTTTAAAAAATTAGACTCCCCCAAACAAAAGACCCAATCAAGAAATAGGCAAATGAAGTGATAAGAAACTTCTCACAAGAGGTATAAATGGCTAGTAAACACATGAAAAAATATTCAACATCTTTGGCTACTAGGGAAATGCAAATTAAAACAATACTTAAAATACATACCACCTTACTCCAGGAAGAATTGCTATCACCAAGAAATCAAATAATAACAAGTGCTTACTAGGCCGCAGGGATAAAGGAGCCCTCATTGTTGGTGGGGAAGTAAACTAGTACAATCATTACAGAAATTCATAAAAAGATTGCTCAAAGAGCTAAAACTAGAAATTTCTTTCAACCCAGCTATTCCCCTTCTAGGTATCTTCCTGAAAGAGTTACACACATCACAGTACAGTGATATGCGCATACCCATACTTAGAGCAGCAAAATTTATACTAGCTAAATCTTGGAAGCAGGCTGTATGCCCATCAACAGATGATGCATAAAGAAACTGCAATCTTTATACACAATGGGTACTACTCTGTCATAAAGAAGGATGAACTTGTAAAAAATCTGATGCACCTTGAGACCATAATGTAAGTGAAATAAATTAGACATATGTGCTTAAATATTACATGGTTTCTCTTACATGAGAAATCCAAAGTATAAATAAATGAAGGGCAAAATAAAAATTAATAGAAAAAGGGAGACAGATCTTTTATAAAAGGGAAGGGGACAAAGAGATGGAAAGAAGGGGATGGAGGGCAGAGGGATGAAAAAAGAATGAAGATGTGTTGTGTCCACGTGCCAGCTGCTCATGGTAACTGTTATGCATCCAAGTCCTCCTCCTGACAAAAATAAAAAGGGGGTACCCTCTGTCTAGGACAGATTCTACTGTGCCAGCAATATTCTAATAAAAATAGCACCCTAGTTTTGAAAACAAAAGATTTTCTCACTTTAATCATAGAAGGACCAACAACTGGGCCGGGGATTTAGCTCAGTGGTTCTGGTGACTGCCTCGCTAGTGCAAGGAACTGAGTTCAATCCCTGGTACCAAAAAAAAAAAAGACAGACCAACAACTTGACTTCAAATGCAATGATTAAAAAATTTACGAGACAGGGCCAGGGATTTAGTTCAGTGGTTCTGGCTTCTGCTTCACAAGTGCAAGGACCCAAGTTTGATCCCGAGTACCAAAAAAAAAAAAAAAAAAAAAGTCAGACAGAAAAGCTAAATACTCCAAATACATTACTTTATTATATTTATTTTATATCTGTCATTAAAATGTAACATTATTAAAAGCAAACCACTGTGTAAAGCCACTTAAGTGGTGTGTGCCTGTGTGTGTGTGTGTGTGTGTGTGTGTGTGTGTGTGTGTGTGTGTAGTGTGTAGATAAATTTGTCTTTTGACAGACTGGGATCAAACTTGTAATTTTCCTGCCTCAGTCTCCAGGTGTGTCACCACCACACCTGGCCCATACATATTTATTTGTAATGAACACTAGACACATTCTATTCCAGCTCACTAAGCACAACTTTGAGATTCACAGCTTTAAAATGGAGATACCAGGAATACAACCTCCCACTATAATATAAGTTCATAGAAAAACTGGGTATTATGCACTACCATTATTCTAACTTATAGGATCTCTTTCTAGAAAAACAAAACAATGAAAACCTTTACAGTTCATGAGTCACTGTATTTAAATAGAAGCATCAACAAATTATTACAAATACCTACAATTACTACTCCAGAATAGAAAAGGCACTACCCAATGCCACTCTGGCTTAAATTCAAAGTCATCAGGACACAGCCTTACCCTTTCAGCTCACTGATTTAACAGAACTTATGTTTCTGGTGGCATTTTTCTCTCTGCAACTCCCTAACTAGAGGAAAGACATTTCCCCCCAAACAAAAATCACACCTTAATATACAGTTGATAGGAAAACTAAGTTCCAAGCCATGGAGACTCCTTAAATCTATTGAAAAGCAAAAGTGATGCGATGTTGCGGGAACAGCGATCTTCTGTGCTGAGGCTGTTTCTGAAGCATTGGACGTCGCAACTGGCTGGGCAAGTGAAACAGGTACAGAAGAACTAATGCCTAAAACAGACATGAATTTTTGAAAAACTGTTCAGGTAATTCAAAATTTTCATCTCATTAATCTTTATGCAAGGAATTTGACTTTTGTGTTACAAGTGTATGAGCTGAGGCTAAGTATCTTAGAAATGGCTTGCCCAGAATTACTAGCCTTTAACTCTTATCTAGAATTGTGTGAAGAGCAAGCTCACTCTCAACAAATACCGCAAAAACATGAAAACAAGTACAACTGAAAGAGCAGCATCTGACTGACATTTCTAGCCTTAGCCGTACACTACTGAGCATTTGGAGGGTTACACTCAGGATTTACTGCAGGGATAATTACATCACTATTTTGTACAAAGTAGTTGTCATTATTTTAGGTATGTAAGAAATAGTCCAACAAGAAGCTAAAACTTGAAAAGACAGAGATATTTAATGTAATATTTTTGCTGACCAGAAATGTTTAGTAAGTGGCCCAAGTACACATCAGGGACAATCCATTCTCGTTCCCAATTCCTAACTCGAATCCACCACTACTTACTTCTATTGTGCTACTGTTAACTAGAGACCCTTATGCAATATATGAAAAATGTTATAAAACCAGATACAGCCGGGGATTTAGCTCAGTGGTTCGGTGGCCTGCCTTGCAAGCGCAAGGACCCGAGTTCAATCCCTGGTACTCCCCCAAAAAAAAGTTTAAAAAAAAGATACAAAGTAATTACTATCAGTTTATCAGAAGAGGTAGCTAATAGCTCTTTCCTCTAAATGCCAGTGAGACTTTATTTAAGAGTTTAATAGTATAAAAATATATCTGAAAGAACTACATTCTTTAATTTCTTTCCTCAATTTAGTAAACTGTATTACAAAATTAGGGTACAATTACTTTAAATGGAAACATTTTATGTCACCACACCATTACTCATTTTTAAAAACTCCAATTTTTACTTAAAAACCCATGAAAGCCATTTTTTAACTGGATGGCTGCAACATCCAATACTAAAAAGATATGTGGAAAGAACATCTTACCCTTTACTTGTGCTTTTAAATCCTTATCATACTGCAAGCTTTCTACCTCACTTTCTGTGGCATCGTCTTTGGCTGGCGGTGTATGGCTGGGAGGTGCAGCTGGGGATAAGCTTGGTGATTTGGGACCAGTAAGTGTCTTCTCTTTTATGGGAGTTAAAACTCTCTTCTTTGAAAGCTCTGGCTCATGTCCATTCTGGGTCTTTAATTCAATTAAAGACTAAAAACAAATTTTAAATAAAGTATAATTTGCACAATACTTTTCTTCATAATAAACAAAACAGCTGGCTTTTAAAATATATATATGTGTGTGTGTGTGTGTGTGTGTGTGTGTGTGTGTGTGTGTGTATATATATATATATATATTTCCCAGTTTAAAATATATATATATCCTTTCCCAGTTTAAATATTCCTAGTCTATTTTACTTCACAATCTGCAAATTTTCTTACAGCATCTAGGACTAGAAAAAGGAAGATAAATAGGAAGGAAATATAACACCCAGAGCTGGGTAGCAAAATGTTTCCTAATGGGTAAGAAAGAATATTTGCAAAAGACAGGCACATGTGACCCTGGGAACAGTGATTATTTCCAAGGCAATGCAATGCAATGGTATGCTCCTAAAGGGAAAAACAGGTTTCCTTTAGTCCATTCCCCCCATTCTCTCTCTATATACATATACACATATATAATTCACAATCCACACACAGATCAATTCTTCAAAAGAATGTTAAAGGTGATTCTGCAAATAGATACAATCAAAATATATGAACACTCAAATAAACGCCCATCTCTATTGAAAAAAATTGCCTAAAAAGAGTACAAAGACTATAAAGCTCTAAAGAACTAACAATCTTCTTTAAGTTGAAGTTATGTCAACCAAAAAGATACCAACCACTAATGCAGAGTCGCACAGACTAGGTCTAAAAACATTCTATTTGCCAGAGTTGTCCTTCTGCCACAGTAAATGTGAAAGTGGACTGTACTATACAAGACTGGCCCAAAGGTTAAGAGGGCTCTGAGTGTAGTCACTTATGGATTATAAAGTAGGGGCTCCTGAGCTGGGAACAGACCTGCAACACCAGAAGTTGGGTGGGGAGAGGCTGAGGCAGGAGGACTACAATGAGTATGAGGCCAGCCTGGGCTGGACAGTGAATTCAAGGACAGCCTGAACTACACAGTGAGACCCTATCTAAAAAATAACTACATAAAATGGAAGTCACTGAACTTTTCTAAAAGATTCATTCAGAAAGGGGGTATCATAGAATGTAGACCACTAATTAACAATAATAAAAATATTCTGATGTCGGGGAACTCTTTGTAGGCTCAACTTCTGTTAACACGAGTAACACGAGAGCAGCTGGAGGAACAAAGTGGGTCACCACTTGCCTGGCAGTCGACGCCTTCTCTCTGCAGAGCCACAGACACTCCCACAGTTGGGGCCAGCTCTAGGGGAACAGGCGCAAGCTTTTGTTTGGCTCGGTTTGGAGGGTCAAGGATAAAAGCACCCTCCACTGTGACTGGGTGCTGGTTGATTTCTGTACTGCCCCTTTTGAGTAGTCCATTTAAAGGTATTTCTGTACTTCCAAGTGACTGGTCTCCACAGCACAAATGGATCTAATTTGAAAGAGAAAATCAAAATGGAGCTTTCTCTCTTAAACACCATAAACTTTTAAAAAGTTACAAAATGATTCATAGGAGGAGAATATAATGAAGGCTAACTCATCCACTTGCTCAAAACACTTCTCACATGATTGTCTAAAACCAGTGATAAAATTTACTGGTAAATCAGTAATAATTTTCATTCCTTTTTTCCATCCCTTCTTTCAGTAATGTGTACTTATGTTATCATCCTTTCTGGTCTCTTTGCTGAGCTATGGTCACTTCAATATTTCAGTATGCTATCTATGTTATATATGCAAATTGTATACAAAGGGAATGTGAATTTTTAAAATATCAAACATTTTATATTTCCATTTTAACATTAATTTAAACATAGTTCTAAAAAACTGCGTCACTGGGTAAGCCTAATTACATTTACATACCTCAAATAAGTTTGTTTTATTCACCCATTTGTATTTCTTTTTCTCTTTTCTTACTTTTAATATTTTTACATATAAAACAGAGAGATGAACAGAAAAAAGATAAGACAGTGTCTCTGGGATGAAAGATACTGTTAATCAATGATAACCAAAAAGAAGTTCAATATTGCCACCTTTTGAAAATTAAAGAAAAAATAAAAGACTGTTCCTGCTATGTGTTTGGGAACTATTCTTCCTTCTACTGTACTGAAGCCCTAAAAAACAACATCCTGAAAAATGAGCTATCAATACATTTAAAAAATGTTTTGACTCAAATATCTACAGTGATTGAGTTTAACAGAGTCTTATAAGTTAAGATGCAATGTTATTAGGTTTTTGTTTTTTTTTTTTTTGTAGGCTAAAGACAATGCATTTTTAATGTCTTAAATGTCCTCTGTTAGAAGAAAACTACTGAGCCTAATGCTTTTGCTAAGGACTGAGTATGGTAAAAACAAAATAAAACTCAAACTGCTTTTTCCTTCATTCTATTGGTTTATATAGTATTTGGTTTTCCAACTATCTTGGGTTTAGCAGAACCATTTCTAAAATTCAGTACTAAAAGTTTTTAATGTATCTTTTCACATCCTGACCAAAATGTAATAACTGCCCAGTCTAGTAACTGAGATTTCTTTGAACAAATGACTGACTCTATTTTTATTTTACTACCCTATCCTAAGTTCAGTCAAAAATAATTATGAAAAATGTAACATTCACTAAGGTTTACTTTTCCATAGAATCCAATTTAAAAAGATAACAAAAAATAAAGCAAGGACAGGTTTTAGAGATTTGTCCCTATCTCCGATTTTAACAGCAATGAGGTAAATTCTGAAATCCCGAGTCTATGATTTGTGCTCCTACACTTAACATCTCCACCAACAAGGAAGAACCTTGTTGTAGCCATGGCTGCAGTCCCCCGGTACAACCTTTTACTTTAAAGGACTGGTAACCGATACACCTCTTTTCTCAATGACTGGGTAATTGGATCTTATCTCCTAAAATTTTGAGGTAACTAATTTCAATGACCTCGATAATACCTTAAAAAGTAACAGGTATGGCAGAAAGAAGATCTCCATTACTGAAATAAGAAAGAATAACCTCTAGTTTAGCACTAAACAAACATTTTAAAAAATCATCTCTAATAAAAAACAACTTGATGTGTTGCTTACCTGCAGTTTAGGCTGAAGAGCCAGGTACACACGAAGAATTTCTACACTGCTGCGTATGCGAACAGATGCTCTCTCTGGCTCAAAGTTTGGGTTGATTAAATCACTGAAGGGTTCATTTGTAACATCATTTCCCAGTAGAGAATAGTAAAAGAAAAACTCAGGCTGTCTTTCTGGAAGTTTCATGGTACACGGAATTAACTAAACATTTAAGGTTAAAAAAAAGATAGTATTATTTTCTTAACCACGAAATATGGTGTCTAATGCACTCGCAAACTATTTCCAAAAATGGTGATTTGTTTTTTAACACATTCACAGCAGAGCTGTAATTCATGTCTCACTGCTAGGCCTCTTGAACCACCAGTGCTGTACATACATGACTGCTCCATCGGGTGGCTTTTTATTAACTGTATTAGTAATTTAAAAGTAATTAGATCCATTCGTCCCACCAGCAGTACAAGAGGGCCAACGGGACAGTCATGCATGTACCACCTGCGGTTCAAGCAGACAGGAACATATTAGTCTTAGAATTAACCGCTCAAGCAGGCATGGCGGCACATGCCTGTCATCCAGCACTTAGAGGTCGCAGAAGGAGAATAACCATGAGTTTGAGGCCAGCCTGGGTGATATTGTGAGAGCCTGTCTTAAAAAAACAAAAGAATAAACTATTTGGAATTTCTAAATCTCCGCCAAATTACTACTATATTACTAGTATTTTTTGAAGGATCATTTTTGAAAAGCACAGAGACTAAAAGAATTGTAACAGGTTTACATTATTTTAAAGTTTTCATTTCACTCAAATAATCCATGAATAAATGAGTGAACATTTGTTTTTAGAAGGGTCAAATATTTTAAACTGAGCTTTCCTATTCACACATATTTCATGTTATCCTTATCCTACTAATAAAGGCTCCAACTTATAAATGAGAAAAGGTTTAAAAAATCTTAATCCAGGCTATTTTTTTCCCTTTTATCATCCCTTTCCTAATCCAGGCTACTTAAAATAAACATCTTAGTCTAGATCTTTGATTAAAAAAGCTTAGATACCTGTGATTAATCACTGCAAAAAATGTCTTTTATACTAGCAGTGTCATTTCTCAGAGTTGCTACTTTCATGGTCAGAAATGACCAAGAGATGGGATTCTTGCCCTATAAAAAAGAAACTATAGCCTAACAGACCAACTCTACATGTTTACTGGAACATTGTTTAATAAACTATAAATATTTAATGTGCCCATTGATAGGAAAGGCTTCTAGTTAGGTAACATTTAGTACAGCTGTTAAATACTGATATGCTGACATGAAAGTTACTGAAAATATATCATTAGGGTAAAAAAAATTACAGTAGAAGTTATGAAAATGAATGTAATTACTTAGATCATAATAGCACAGTATCAGACACATAATATTTAAGAAATGTAAGTTATTGTTTTAATCCTACACTTTGAAATGTTTCTGTTGAATTGAGTAATTTTAATTATTACATACACACACACACACACACACACACACACACATGCATAATATATATGTGTGTGTATACACACACCTACAAAGCTATGAATTTTGGAGTTAGACTCCAGCCCCTAATCCTGGTTCCAATCAATAAAATGTAAAACCTTAATGCTGTGAAGCATTAGAAAAATAATTTCACTGTTCCATGCTTCAATTTGTTCAAGGTTGTAAGAAATGTTAAAAGAGAAAATACTTGTTCCACATTACGATAGTGCCAATCACAGAGTCAGCTGTTACAGTGTGAGACTGAGAAAATATCTAGGGAAAAACACACTTTCCTTAACAATGAAAATTTCAGAGTTTAATTAAAGAGACTTGCATATATTCTTTTATTCCTTTCATAATCAGAAAGCAATAAACATGTTAAGTAATAAAGGTGGCTCCTACATAGTCCATGTACATTTAAAACTTTAAATAATTCTCACTATAGGAAGATACTATTTTTAAATTATTTTATTGCTGGGTATGGTGGCCCAAGCCTTTAAGCCTGTACTCAGGAGGCCTGGGCAGGAGGATCAGTAGGCCAACCTGGGCTTGTCTCAAAACAACAACAAACAAACAAAAAACCCTCTTTATTATCCTGGAATTTAGAGAGAGCACAGAGTTACTTTTAGTCCCTTAATTTTCAATATTTAGGAAAAGAAGGAACATAACTGCCATCCAGTCTTGCTTCAAATGTACCTTTCTAGTCTGTTACTGATCTGCATATAAAAAGGCACGATGGTAGACTGTCTCTGACCAAGTTGAGAAGAAAAAACCTAAGTGGGTAGTAAAACTAAGTGGACTGTTGCACTCCAAACTAAAATAATGCGACCAGTCAACTGTAATGGAAGAGTCACAGTTCCATTTATTTCTCCTGCTCTCAGCTTCAGGGAACCACAAATCTGCTTTTATTCTCTACAGTTTTTTTGTCTACTTAGGATATTTCATATTCATGAATGGAATCATACAATATGTGGCTTTTGTCTGACTTTTTTCCCTCAGCATGTTTCCAATACTCACCTATGTTGTAATACGCATCAAAAGTTCATTCCCAAAGAGTGGAGTAACATTCCATTGTATGGATATGCCACATTTTGTTTTTCCATTTGTCTGCTGATGGACGTTTGGATAGTTCCCAGGGTGAAAAGTGGCGTTACGAACATTCACACACACATATTACTTTGGGTGCATAATCATAATTGGAATTGCTGGGTTATACGGTAATTGTTTAACACTTTGAGGAACCTGTCTGGCTTTAATCTTTTCAGAGAGACCACTTTGCTAGATCACCTCTCCCTCCCTCCCTCTCTTCTGCTCACTCTCCCCCTCCCCTGCCCTCTGTCCCTCTCGCTCTGTGTGTGTGTGTGTGTCATAATTAACCTGGAAGGGTAACTTGTCCCATATATACCTAGTATTACTAAGAACTTGGACTAGATAGGTCAATTACACACAACAAGCTTTTACTATCCAAATGTGGCTTCTTACACAGAAACTACATGGAAGATACTTTACTATCACATCGTAAGATGGTACCACAGTAGCATCCTGATTACCCTAGGAAAAATCAAGCCTCAGAAAGGCAAGTAACTTGCCCAAGTTAAAGGAGCTAGTAACATGGAGAATGAGATTCCAACTTAACTCTTTCTTATTCCAAATCCTGTGAGAGACAGGAGAGCATAATACAGGAACAAAAGTGTGAAAAGAAACCATATAATCAGAAATACTTGGGCCACTTACTAGATATAAAATCTACCTAAAACTGGGCTATCTCATCTCTAAAATGAAAATAATAATCCTCTAAGAGTGTGGTGGAATTATATAATATATGCAAAACAGCACAAAGTCTATTACACATCACATAGCACATTGTAAGTGAGCAATAAAAATCAACCATACACTTCCCCATGGAGGCAAGAAATAAAATAGCAATTCAAATTGGTGCACAAATACGTTAACACAGTAATATAGAGGACTCCTAGTCATCTGATATGTGGGCAAGAGTGTTCTGATGTGGTAAATATGGTTAATGCAAAGAGACTCTCAGCAACTTTCCAGGTGCCAAATTAAGCTGAAGCAATTCATAAGTAGAGATTTATGAAAGGAAGAAAACTAAGGAAACTGATGGGAAAAGACAAAAGTGCACCTGTTAATGAGAAAATGATAGTACTAAACTGGAAGAAAAAGATTAAATAAGTATCCAAAGGAAAAAAGATATATATATATCTAGATATATATAAACTCACATCCTTTTTGTAGTGGACATGACCAGTGTGACAAAGTAAATGCTTCCTGAGGAAAAGTTTACCTGAGAAATCTTGAAAAATAAAAATACAGTCACTGATTGCAAATTTCACTTGTGAATACAGCTTATGTGGGAATTCTGCACCTCTAAGAAAGCGACTAGTCTAATAAAAATTTGAGTCATAAGGTACGTTTGTCTGTTTTAAAAAATATTAATTTTACTACTAGGGCCCCACAGACCACACAATGTCAAGAATAGTGGACTTAATCCTGAGACAGACAAAATAAGAGCTCCTCTTGTATTGTGTGCTGCTGGGAGGAGTCAATCTATCAAGAGTGTCTTCACATATGCGCATGCCAAGACTGCCAGGCCCGACTCAGTTTTTATCCAGGGTGCTTCTCAGGGATGTTTATATAGCTGGTAACTGTGAGGAACTGGGTAACATGTCTCCTCAGACAAAGACCAGGACTGCTTACTGCTCACACTAAAAGTGAAGCATTTCCCAAATTAATTTTTCTCACTGTGACAAAATCCATTGTATGCCCTGTGTAGTCTCTGTGGGACTTGAATAAGGAAAATTGAAGAAAATATACTGATATTCATGTTGTCTGTCATACTGAGACTAAAAGTCCTCTGAATCTCACTAGGAACCTTTTGTCTTCTGCCAGTATTCAGAACAGTAACGGCTAACTTACTAGCATTTTCAAAATGTAAAATATAATACTAGCTCCAACGGGCATTAAGTACTACCAATACTACCAGAACAAAGTGTTCTTGCAACTGCATATTTCTCCAAAGAGCACACTTAAAAAGCAAATTCAAAAATTCCTTTCAGCAGTCCTTACAATGCCACATGGTACAAGGGCAAACAATATTTACTGATGGCTGTTTTCCTAAATCCTGGAGTTTAGTTTATTCTCTCACTACCAACATACTGAAATCTAGTCTCTTCCTAAAGTGAAAATGCTTTCTTATATAAAAAAATAAAAAGTTTTGAATGTATTTTTTAAAAGTCTACTAGCAAGTCATTTTGATATCTAAAAGGTAAGATTTACACAAGAGGTGCTCTCCAATCCCTCATGAATAACCAATCTCAGGGAAGGTCTCACCTGCTCCAACTGAGTGGCAAACGCTATGGTCACTGACATAACGAAGGCGTCAGTACAACACTCTGCGGGTCCAATCTGATGGTAGCCTCCTTCCTCATTCAGCACTGCGACAAGGTCCTTTGGGTCAAGTCCAGGAAGGCTGGCGGGTACTTCATAAAGAAAAACACAATTAAACTACAGTTTGCATACACTACTATGAAATTTTAAAAACTCATTATAGCACTGGGGATTTAGCTCAGTGGTTCCAGCACCTGCTTTGCAAGCACAAGGACCTGATCCCGGGTACTAAACAAAACAAAACAAAAAAACTCATTTTAAAATTTGCTTGGTAATATTTGTGAAAACAGTTAATATCTCAAAAGGTTTCCTTTAATGTCTTACTTTCCAAAAAAACTTTCTTTAACCTCATTCTTCCTATATGTTAAGAACTAGAATATAACATTTTTAAAATTACAGTTTAACAAACCATATAGAAAAGGCATCTAATTAAAGTTTCTTAGTGAACCTAAACTGGGAAGTGAAAAATAGGTAGATTTAGCTAACACAAGAAAGATGACTAAATGGAGAACTGGGGAGTGAAAAATATGTTCTAGACAGAGGCACAGAAGTGTAAGACAGCAAGAACTCGAAAAGCCGAAGACGTAGGGCTGCTGGGTCAGTGAAAACTGACCTGGAAGTGGAGGTGGCTGGAGAGATAAGCAGAGGTGCATCATGAAGGGTCTCCCCACATGCCACGAGACATTTGGACCAGCTTTTAATAAGGAAAAACCATGAAATAATTTTGGGAATTGACTAATATAATCACATAAGTTTCAGTATGAAAAGACTGGATAGGGACAAGGAAAAAAATTCTGTATATCTGTACCATACAAACAAGTAATTCTTCTTCTAGAAGTTAATCTTAAGGAGATGTTCTTACCACAGTATTGGCTAAAATAATGTAATTGTTAACAGTACAAATATTTAAGTCACATAGTTCAATCCCAACTGCCATTAGTTATATCAGATAACTGTATGATTTCCTCTAATATCCATTTTTTCATCTGCAAAGCTTTCATGTGGTTGTCAAGAAGACCAAATTAAACACTTCAAGCAAAATACTTAGCACAGTATTTGATACATTAATTATTTTAATAAAGACAGCCATTATATGGTAAGGACAACAGAGCCTAGAATATTAAAATAATAACTATGAGAGGTTTCTCATTGTCAGAGAAGAGTTACAAATATGACAGAGAGAAAACTAGCAATAAATCATGTGTAGGAATGGAACTGAAAGTGTTAATGTGAATTCATGCTGTTCATATGGATAAAAAAGGTGCATGTGTGCTATGTTTGAGTATGTTGCCTCCAAAATTCAGGAGCTGAAATTTATGGTACTGTGATAGTATTAAGAGGTGGGGCTTTTAATAACGGGTGAGTAGGTCAGGAGGGCTCCTCTACTGTGAGTGGAATGAGATGCCCTTATAAAAGAGCACGACAGAGTGAAATCCTCTCCCATTGGCTTTCCACCTCCTCAAATGGCAGGGCCTTGATCTTAGACTTCCCAGCCTCCAGGACTGTAAGAAATAAATTTCTGATCTTTATAAACTACTCTGTTAATGGGTATGCTGTTACAGCAACAAAAAATGGGCCAAGACAATATGTATACACCACAAGTTAATGGGTAGATGGGTGTAGAGATAGACAGATGGCTGGCTGGCTAAATCCAGGACTGAGACAGGGAAAAGTGAGCCTAGAATATCTTCTCGTGCAAGTAAACAAGAGGCTCAAAGGCTTATGTAGACAGTGAGAAGGAGACAGAAGCAGCTTGAAAGGGCTGCCCAAATCTGGGAAAATGCAAATTGATATTTAAATACTATAAAATACGTTTATATTGTTATAAGTAAATGAATAAATTGGAGGCCAATAAGAAATGAAATATTTTTCATAATTTCCCAATTCTGCTCCACAAAAAATTAATTACAAAGGAAAAAAGAACAAGTTTACAGCTTTGAACACCGATACCACATCAATCATGTAAATAAAGCAAGCATCATCAATAATGGACAAATCAAACCTGTGTTTGACATCACTTCTGCATATTGTTGCCAAGGATTCACAATCTAAATCTCAACTCAGACAAATCTAAATCACTAGGCCTTCTAGAAATTAACCGGCCCATGATGTTCGCAGTTTTAAATTCATGAATGCTAAGGATCTATTACATGACAATTATATGCAATACCTGAGCCTAAATTAAATTCACCCTATAAAGGACATTAATGAGACAAAAAGAAAAATACAGACTTTCTCAAACAAACATAAATCAACGGAATGTGTTGCTAGTAGACCCATTTTTCAAGAAATGTTAAAAGTTCAGAGACAATGAAAATGATATGGGTCAAAAATGTGGACCTACATAAAGAAATGATAAGTAAAGGACAAGTGAGGGTAAAATAATAAAATTTTTTTACATTTATTTATTTTTGGTGACACTGGGGATTGAACCCAGGGCCTTCACACTGCGCCACGTCACCGGCCCTTTTTATTTTGAAACAAGGTCTTGCTAAGTTGCTAAATTAGCTCAAACTTGTGGTCCTTCTGCTTTTGCCTTCCATAGTCCAAGGGTTACAGGCAAGCACCAATGAGCCTAGCTTTAGTATAAGTGCTGCCGAAGCGAGCACTGAACCTGGCTTTAAATTCTTCACTGATTGAATGGATTATTCAAAATACTACTACTAATAATTTATTCAATTATGTACATGTGCACACACACGTGTGTATGCTTATGTAAAAGTTAACTCCAATGATACAAGGGACAAGAGAAGATTAATATATTTTGCTATTAAAACGTACTTGAGTTATTCATGAGGTGGTATATAATATTTGAAAGTAGACTTGAACAATTTTTAAAAGTATAGCTAATGGAGCCGGGGATTTAGCTCAGTGGTGCCTCACCTACTGCAAGCGCAGGGTTTAAGTTTTAATTTAAGTTTAATCTAAGTTTGGTTCCTCTTACCATTAAAAAAAAGTATAGCTAATGTGCTAAGAAAGAAGAATATATGTCCTGTCATGTAAAGGTACAAGATCCCAAAAATGAATGTAACTGTACTGTATACCTAAAATGTACCAATAAACTCAAGGAGGAAAAAAAAAAACAAAAAGAATACATGAAACTCTGTAAAATTAAAACCGAAACAGGCAGGAAAGATGTGGGAACAAGGGCAACAAATAAGGTCAATCTTAACCCTAATATATCAATAATCTCTTTGAACATCAATGGTCCAAATGTACCATCTAAAAACAGAAATTGTCAAAGTAGATCCACAATAATACCCAATTATATATTGTCTATAAGAAACCTGCTTTAAATATAAAGAAAAAAAGACATATTAAAAGTAAAAGGATAAAGAAAGATACCATGTAACACAAAAAGAAAGTGAGAATAGAGTAGCTATATTAATTCAGATAGAGGATACTTCAGACTAAGAAAAGTTCTCAGGGATAAAAAGGGACATTACGTGATAAACAGGTCAATTCTCTAACATGTATACACCTAGTAATATAGCATTAGAATACTTGAGGCAAAAGCTAGTAAAAAAAAAAAAATGCAAAAAAAAAAGTAGTTGTATCCTCTACAATAGCTTCAATCTTTTAACACTCACCGGTAGACAGACCCAGAAGGTACAAAATAAATAAGGACACAATTGAACGCAGCATCATCAACTACTTGGACAGACTACTTCATCCACCAACAGCAGAACGCACACTGTTCTCAAGCTCACATGTTCTCACAGGGAACATTCACCAAGGTAGATCACACACTGGACACAAAACACGGCTTAAGATACTTGAACAGAAATCACACACCATCTGCTTGCTCTCAGACTAGAATGAAATTAAACTCAAAATCAGTAATAAAAAGGTGAAAAATCCCTAAATAATTGGAGATTAAGCAATACACTTCTAATTAACTTCATTCAAAATCTAAAGTCAAATGTCTAAGCTTTCACCTTAAAAATATTTTTTAAAATAACAATGGTGAATTAAGTCTAAAGAATAGAGAAGAAAAATAATAAAATTAGAGAAGATCAATGAAACTGAAGACAGGTAATCAATTGGCGGAAAAACAGAAAATCAACAAAACCAACAGCTGCTTCTCGGAAGCTAGTCAATTAGCCTCCAACGAGAAAAAAAGTGAGAGGAGACATAATACTAATAGTAGAAATGAAAGAGAGAATACCCTTACAAATCCTTTGGACATTAAAGGGAAAATAAAGCCAAAAACAACTTAATAACCTAAATGAAATGGACCAAAATTCACTTAAGATGAAACAATCGCAGTAGAGGTATATCTATGACAGAAACTGAAATAATAATTAATAACCTTCCAAAACAGAAAGCAGCAGAACTAAATGAGAATTTGCTGGTAAATTTTATCAAAAATTCAAGGAAGAAATTATATCAATTCTCTACAATTTCAGGAGATAGAGAATATTTCCTAACTTATTTATTATCAGCATTATCCAAAATCAGACATTACAAAAAAGAAAAAAAAAAAGCAAAAGAAACGACATGCCAATATCTCATGAGCATACACACAAAAATCTTCAACAAAATATTAGCCCACCAAATCCAACAATGCACAAAAAGAATTTATCCTAGGTATGCAAAACTTACTCAATATTAAAAAATCAATTAATGCAATGACAGTATTAATAGGCAAAAGAATAAAAATCACATGATTGTATCAGTGGGTATAGAAAACACATTTGATAAAATCCAACACTCATTTGTGATAATTAAATACAAACAAACAAAAACCACACCTCTCACAGTAAACTAGGATTAGAAGGCAACTTTCTACGTAAAGAAACTTTGTAGATACAGAAAACTCACAGGTAATAACATACTTAATGGGCAGAAATTCAAAAAAGTGTTCCCACGAAGGTCAGACACGAGACAAGGATATCACCTTTCATTACTCCTTTTCAACATCATACTTAAGTCCTTGGCAGTAGTAAGACAAGAAAAGGTATACATAGTAGGAAGAAACAAATACTGTGCTATCTTTTTCAGCAGGCAACAAGATTATTTACATGGAAAATCTCCATGTGGAAAGACTTGCAGAAAAGTCTTCTAGTCAAAAATGATCATAGCAAAGTGCAGAATACAAGGTTAACATATAAAAGTCAGCAGAGGGCTGGGGATTTAGCTCAGTGGTTCGGTGGCCTGCCTTGCAAGTGTGAGGACCTGAGTTCAACCCCCGGTACCAAAAAAAAAAAAATAATAATAATAAAATAAAAGTCAGCAGAGCTTTCATAATATGCCACAATAAACAGAATTTAAATAAAAATGTATTATAATTGACATTAGCACCCCTCCAAAATGTAATGCTTAGCTATAAATCTAACAAAATTTATCCATGATATGAGGAATTCTAGTAAAATTCTAATAAAATGAATAAAAAAATGTCAAAAGCAGAGAGTGCATGTTCATGAATATGAAGATTCATTGTTGCCAAGATGCCAGCTCTTCCCAAGCTGACCTATAGATTCAATGTAATCTTAACCAAATTCTAGAAAATTACTTTTGCGCATGCTGCCAAACTGTTTCAACTTTATATGTAAAGGCAAATGACCCAGAATGGCCCAATTCAACACTGAAGAACAGATTCAAAGGACTAATACTACTTGATTTTGAGACTCATTAGAAAGCTGTCGCAATTAAGTACTGTCAGGTATTGTTTCACAAAGGAGCAAAGGCAATCAACAGAGAAAAACAGTCCTTCCAACAAATACTACTATAACCACTCGGTGTCCATATGCAATCAATGATCCATCAGTCAATCTAGACACATCTCACAACCTTCAAACATTTCGTAGACCTAAGTGTAAAATGCAAAACTAAAAAATTAGTGGAAGATAACGTAAGAGAACCTGCCAATGATTTTTCTGATATTCCAACAAAGGTATGACCCCTGAAGGATATAACTGATAAGCTATTTTTCAACACAATTAGAAAGTTCTGTGAAAGCCAATGTCAAGAGACAAAGACAACAGCTACAGATGGGGAAAATGTATCTGTACAAAACACACTTGCTAAAAGACTTGTTATCCAAAATTACAAAGAACCCACAGCAACAGAAAATGAACAATCTGATTTAAAAATGGGCCTGGGGCTCGGGATTGAGCTCAGTGGTGCTGTGCTTGCCTTGCAAACACAAGGCCCTGAGCTCAATCCCCCCAAAAAATGAGCCAAAGATCCAAACAGACACCTCACCAAAGATGTGACAGATAAACATATGTAAATATGCTCAAAATCGTTTGTCACTGAGGAATTTCAAATCAGAAGAATAATTAAACATCACCACACACCTGCTAGAATGGCCAAGATCTAAAACACTGATAACGTCAAATGCCAGCAACACCCCGAAGCAGCAGGAATCCTCATTTACTGCTGATGGCAATGTACAGCCATGTTGCAGGATGGCTTGGAGATTTCTTACAGAACTAAATGTACTCTAGTCACAAAATCCAGCAATCATACTCCTTAGTTTTACCCTAACTGAAAACATAGGTCCACACATAAACTCGTAAACTCGCACACAGGTGTTCATAGGAGTAACTTTATTTACAACTGTCAAAAGTTGGAAGTAACCAAGATTTTCTTTAGTAGCTGAAAATAAACTGTGGTACATCCAATGAAATACTACTCAGCACTAAAAAGGAATGAGCTATCAAGCCATGCAATGACATGGAGGATTCTTAAGTGCACTTATTACTAAACGAGACCTCACTTTGAAAGGGCTGCACACTGCATAAGTCTAACTATAAAACATCCTGGAGGAGGCAAAACTATGAAAAGAGAAAAAAAAAGATCAGCAGGTTGACTTAGTTCATTTTCCATTGCTATAAATGAATACTTGCCACTAGGTAATTTACAAAGAAAAGAAACTTCAGCTGCAGTGGCCAGAAGTTAGAGGTTGCGAGGCCTCATTTGGTCATGATCTTCCTAATGAAAGGGCCTCTACAGACTCCAAGGTGGGACAGGGTATCACTCAGAAGGGTGATCACGACAGCCAGACCCAGTGGCTTTGACTAGCACCTCTCACAGTAACTGACCCCCTGGACAGCCCACGACTCCCTGAGGAAGCAGAATCAGCCTGTTCACAAGGCAGAGCCCTGACTCGATCGCCTCCAATGCCACTCATACACAACCTGGAAGACTAAGTCACAAGTGAATCGATGCTGGGGCACAAGCCCTACCTGCCGTCAGGTGTTGGGCAGTAAGGCACAGGGGACGCAGTGAAACTACTCAGGACGACACTGCAATGGGAGACAGGTGTCACTGCACATGGAACAAATCCACAGAATTACACAAGTGAACTGTAATGTAAACCATGGACTTCGGTGACAATGACGTATCAGCGCAGGGTCATCAAACGTATCAGGACTCTGCTCTGACTCTGACACGCTGACAGTGGATGACACTGTGCCTGTTTGGAGACAGGCAGAGGGGACTCTGTACTCTCCGTACTCTCCAAAAAGCACAAAAGAAACAAACAGGAAGGTTTTACTACACTACGGATGAATTAAAAAGCAGAACAGCATCTTCTGGGAAGCACTGCTATAATCATTCTAGAAGTATATTTACTTAAGCAGCAACTTTTAAAAATAGAAAATTTTCTTTGTTCTACTATGAATCAAACGAGCAAAAGATTTTCCTACTTCTAAGATTTGTAAACAAGAGCTAAGAGCAACAGGTGCCGCACGTGTAACAATGCCACAATATCTGTCGAGAGTAAAATCAGCTCACACTCCTACATCTACCTCCTACCCTTCCTAAAATCCTCGGCCATACGTAACTTCTGAGACGTCTTTGGGATGACACACAAACCTTTTCCATCTCGAGGTGGGGCTCCCTTCGCTTTAAAACTATCCACTGGTGCTTTAGTATCTGTTTCCAAAGTGATGCTTATCTGTATCTCAGACTTGAACTTGGTGTATTTATTACTCAGCAACTGGTACCACTTTGGTGCCTAGAGAAAACAACAATGCAATATTTAATAATAGGGAAAAAGTATTGGAAATGTTCAAGATTCTAAATATATTCCTGTAGTTTTTTAGCATTTTTCTCATCTTTATGTTTTGTTTTTTGTTTTTTGAGACAGGGTCTCACTATGTCGTTGAGACTGACCTGGAACTCACTATGTAGCCCAGGCTGGTCTTGAACTCACAGCGATCCTCCTGCCTCAGCCTCCCGAGTGCTGGGATTACAGGTGTGTGCCACCACACCCGGCACTTTTCTCATCTTTAAAAAAAAAAAAAGAAGTTGGGCCAGGGATTTAGCTCAGTGGTTCTGCCGCCTGCCTCACAAGAGCAAGGTTCCAAGTTCGATCCCAGGCACCAAAAAAAAGAATGAAGTTTTTGTTTTCTTAATCCACATTTTCTACCAAAGAAATTAACGCTGCTGGGCATGGTAGCACAAACCTGTAATCCCAGCACTCGGGAGGCTGAGGAAGGAGGATTGCAGTGCATTTGAGGCCATCCTGGGCTAGTTAGGGCCAGCCTGAACTACAAAGCTGAGTCCCTGACTCAAAGAAATTAACGCTGCTTAGGAAGCCGTCAACGGAATTTCCCTTTGGAGAAACTACTTTCAAGCTTAGATTCTTGCTTCTCTCCTGCTGAGGTCTATAATATTGATCAGGCCCAAGGCAGGCTGTGAAGAGCTAACCTTACAATTAGCTTGTTTACAGAAGTGAGTCTGCCTGATGCCTACGTGCCAGGTCAGAGCAACTCGTACCCAAATTCAGTTCCCACAGCTAAAACCTTCAGACGAGGAGGACAGTGTTCTAATTACAACCACGTATTTTATCTGTTGTTCCTAATTTGAGAATACTTTGTCTTGTCCTTATGAGCCTTGTTTACACTAATTTCCACAGAAACCACATGCTACCTTTATCCCAACTGACTGCTAATAAAAGTGCCTGGGACTGGCCAGCACCTTTGTTGGTCTCGCCGGCACTGGTGGTCCTGGAACCCCGCTTTCTCTCTTTTAATTCTCTTAGTGCGTTTTTTTTCAGGCCTGCATCACACACTGGGTAGGTGGGGACTAGAAACTTACTGCAGGAATCTCTGACACTCTCCTTCTGTTTTAAACAGGCAAAATACTAAGTGGAAGAAAACACAAAACATATTTCTTTCTACCTTTATCTTTGCACCTCCAGTCTCATTTCAACTGTTTAAACCATCAATTTTGTTTTTCTGACACATGCTGTTTTATATTTTTTAACTTTTCTTTTTGCCACAATTCTGTTTTTGTCCTGCCCATTATCAAATAAAGAAAAGAAAATCTTACTATTAAACAAATGGCAGGGCCGGAGATTTAGCTCAGTGGCACCACACCTAGCTGGCAAGCCAAGGTCCTGAGTTCAATTACCAGTACCAAAACAAAAACAAAAACCTTACAAACTACCAAGGGTGCTATAGTAGAATTTTGGGTTATGAACTTGATTGATGTTAAAACAAAGGCCTTCTATAGAATAAAGTATCTGAAATTACCCAAGTATTCCCTTGAGAGCAACCTCAGAAATTCTAATACCCAGGTGAGCCTGAAAACAATCTCATGGCCCAGGAAATGTGTGTGACTCATACAGAAATCACTGGTCACCAGGGAACCATTCAACACTTGGAAACAACATTCTTATTCTGACCATGGCTATACAAAGATGAAATACCTGATGCTTATATTGTTCGAAGCCAGAAACTGTTGTTTTATATTCAAATTGTTTGATAAGAAAAACAGGATTAGCAAGTCTATGAGTGTTTAAGAAAACTACAACCTATTTTTTAAAAATTCAAAATGAAGAATATAATCTATTGCTGCATTTATTATGACAGATATTTTCTCATTTTAAACATAAACCTAGCCAGGGATGATGGAATTTGCCTGTAATCACAGCACTTGGGAAACTGAGGCAGTAGGGTCACCACTAGTTCATTAGGCCAGCGTGAACTACAGTCTCAAAATAAACAAAAAAAACATAAACCTAAAAAATACATGTTTTGTGTGTGGTACCAGGAACCTTACGCTTGTAAGGCAGGCACAGTGCCGTGAGCCATATCCCCAGCCCCTGAAAAATAATTTTTAACTACTTACAGATTTTATATTTTTCTGTTACACAACCTGGAAAAATAAAACTAGAATATTCTATTTATAGAGAATGAACTTATTTTAAACTTCAAGCATTGTACTAGCCAATTTCAAACTACTGGCAGACAAAAGCAAAACAGCATTTAGTTTTCCAAAAAATAAATGTAATTTTGAACCATTTCTCCTGAACTTTGATCACAAACGTGGTTATGAACTGCTCTGGAAAACTACACAAATGGATGAGGAAGGTCAAGAACATCACAGGCACAATCCTGTCCCTTGACCACACCCTCCTGAGCGGAGGTCCCTCTTGGCAGTAAGGTGACTGCAGAAGTGCCCTCTGGACACCTGCGTGTTGCAGGAGATACCGGGTAAGGGAAATGCCTGGGACTCAACCACCTTTTAGGATCTAAGACCAAAGAAGGAAAATCTTTGTCAGGGTAGGGCCTGAGAGCAGAGAAGTGATGAGTATTCATGGGTGGGGGCAAAACAAGTCCTCTTGTAAAGCATTCGAGAACTTTAGTTCCTTTTGAATGATTCTGATTATGGGCCAATTTATTTGCAAATATCATTGCTATCAGCAATAAAAAATGTTAAGAACAGATAGATTAGATTTCTATGAAGAAAAACAAAATTAAAGAGTGGTGGGGGTGGTGACAGATCGACAGGTGTGTGTGTGTGTGTGTGTGTGTGTGTGGTACAAAAGACTGAACTCAAGGCCTTCATACTGAACTATACCCTCATTCCTTTTTATTTTTAGACAAGGTCTAATTTTTAGACAAGGCTGGCAAGGCTGGGCTTGAACTTAAAATCTTCCTGCATTAGCCTGGGATTACAGGCATGAACCACACCCAACTACTCCCAACTACTTTAAAAAAATTTTTTTGTTTGTTTGGGGGTTTTTTGGTGCTGGGGATCGATCTCAGGACCTTGTGCTTATGAGAGAGGTGGCAGCACTACTGAGCTAAATACTCAGCCCAAATGTTTACTTTTTTAAAGAAAAGATACTGTGACCAAATAAAGACATTAAGAAAAACTGAAAATTTTCTAAAGTCAATCACATACAAAAAGGTTTGAGAATACTTAAAAAACACATAAGAAGCACATTCAATAAATAATAAAAAGCAGTAGGCTGGGGATTTAGCTCAGTGGTGCTGCCGCCTGCCTCACAAGCACAAGGACCAGAGTTCAATCCCTGTACCAAAAAAAAGAATAATAAAAAGCACTAAAAAGCACTAACACAGGAATTGGGACCCTGAGTTCTTTTCTTTGGGGGAAAGGAAGTACTAAATATTAAGTAACACTAAATGTAATACTAAATGTATCTCAGTACGTTCACTTACTCTAACTTAGATCAAGTTACTTGGCCTGTCAGGACTCAGGTTCCCCATCTATAATACAGGGGAAATAAAACCAATCTATAGGGTTATTCTGATGTTTAAATGAGTTGCTGCTGCGAAATACTATAAAAAAATACTCGATATAATTATTATAATATGAGAAACATAAGGATTATGTATTTATAACAGCCTGAAAGAGAAGAGACCAAAACTTAACTGAAACACAGTATTTTATAATCAATACTCCTTCCCCTAAAATAATCTGTAAGGACTAGAAAGCAAACTAGAAGGTCACTACGACAGCCAAAATAAGAATCAACTGTGGCTTAGGTCAGGTCACAGCAGTGAAAATGCAAAATAGTAGACCAAGAGAGAAAAACAAACTATACAGGAAGGAATAAGAAAGTGTGGAGTAAGACTCTTTGATACCTTTAATTCAAATAAACAGGAAGGAGAGTAGTGAACATTCACTAAAGCAAGGAGCATCAGAGGACTATCTGTGAAAGGAAAGCTCAGGAGTTGAAAGCATTAAGCTCATGGAAACAGTTACTTTAATACAGGCCCGGACTCAGACAAGTTTCTTTGAGAGAGACAGCTCAAAGGAATGATTAAAAAGTTAGACTTTTCTAAAGCACAGTCCTAAACTAAAACATAGTAAGTGTCATGCTATATCATCACATAAGAATTGTCATAGTACGGCCCAGTATTCATGTTCTTCCCATTAGTCTAAGATCGAAAGGGCAATATACCTGTTTGGTTTCTTGGGCAGTTCTCAAGTCCAGAACAATATAACCTACAGTTTCCTTGGCTGAAGATATAGGATCCAAGGCAAAACACTGGAGTTTGATAGGAGTACGCTGTAGTCTGTAACATAATAGTTTACATGATAAATTTCTATCTTACATTGAACTATCATCTTTGACAAAATTGCCCATTACTATTCTGATAATTATAATTTTGTTGGGTCAAGAAATCTAAGAGTTTCTAAAAAGACTCAATTAGCAAGAACACGATTATATCTACTTACCTATATACCAATATACAAAATATGTAAAAATTTTAGGGTTTCATCTAAGAGGCTGTCATCTAGATGGATGTTTCTTAAACTTTTACAATGTACAGGTTCCACCACCTGCTTCGCAAGCGCAAGGTCCCAAGTTTGATCCCTGGTATGCAACCCCCGATACAATGTACAGAGCCATCTGAAAGCCAGGAATTATCATGAGTCTTCATGGCTGACTTTAAAATATATTTCTTAAATCTTACTGTTACATAAAAAAATACATATATGTTTATAGCTTTTTGTAGCTATAAGAACAATAAACTGAGGATTTAAACACCATAAAATCAAATTAGTAAAATTTAAATTACTAAATCACTCTAGTTCATGACAATGTTCTATAAGATGATACTGACTGGCATAACATGGGCTCTTTTTCGTTTAGAAACCACTGACTTTATCATCAATTTTACCTAGTATAATTACTATTTAACTGCATTTAGCACAAAAGTCACTTTCAAATTCAATTTATCTGTGTTTTTTTCAGGCTACAGTAATCAAAGTATACCGCCTAGCACTAACACAGCTGCAACACAACTACAAAGCAGGCCCTAAGACTGAGCAAGCACTGAAGTGATTATGTTTACCAGGAGATATATTTTCAATCCTTTAATGAAATATGTCTGTTCTTAACTGTTTCTGGTTATAGAGTTCATAAAAAATAAGACACTACAACTTTAAGTCCATCTTCAATTAATATAGAGTTAAATAGAAAGAGTCTCATAAGATTTTTTTTTTCCATTGGATACTTCGGTATTTCCTTGGCAAGCCAACTAAACATATAATGATTAATACAAAGAATGATGAATTCCAACCACTATTTGGAAAGCATCATCAATGTACTTTTAGAATATCTGTTGTCTCACACATTAGCCAAAACAATAAAAGAAAAATTGAACGAAGTGGTTGAAAGCTTTTAAAGTCAGACTTGAGCTAGAATGGCTGGGATCTACCACCACTATCTAATGAACAGACTTAGAGCAAGTCACTAGGTTACTTAACGTCTGGGGAGTGTTTCCTCGTCTCTAACAGTGAAGAAATTGTAACACTGACTTCGCATGCTTGTTCTGATGTTTAAACAAGTTACTGTGAAGTATGATGACTGAAAATTTCCTAGGACATTACAAAATACTAAAAATCATGATTACTGCTTTAATGTAATGAGGTAATATCTGAAAAAGCATGAAAAAGAAACCAACCGAGGTGATTATCTACACTGAAAGCAGCAGTCACCTGTGCTGATGCAGTGCTTTCCTGTCGATTTCCCAGGCTAGCTCAGTTGCAAATTCTGGCTGGTTAGTATGGTCCACAGGGTCAGTAGCCAACTGCTCTCCATCAAACTTTGCTTCTACTATAAGCATGTGCTTTGGACGTTTAGGGAAATGGCGACCTGGAGAAACAAGACTCTATAGATTAACTGGAAATGTACAAAAATCAAACAGGATCATTTAGCGTGTGTCTTAAAAACCAATACATGTTAAGAGCAGCTGACTGAGCATATAATGCGTACACATTCAGTTTTGTCACTCATAAAAAGCAGGGATCAAATTAAAAGTTACAATTTATAAGTCTGTGCCTCTTAAATCTGAATGTGCACACGAATCCTCTGGAGAACCTGGTTAAAATGTGGATTCTGGTACAGACGGTCTGTCGTAAGCCCAAGGCCCTGCATTCCTAAACGATCTTAGGTGATGGCCATGCTCCTGTTCTTGGCTCATAATTTCAAGTGGTAATGATGTAAGTAACATCTGAAATTAAAAGGAGCTAAAAATGCATTTACACCACATATCCCAATTAGTTTACATCACAAGGGAATTTTAGCTTCTGTTTGCCTTTTTCCATGTGTGGTGCTGGGGACTGAACCGAAAGTCTATGAGGAGCTTCAAAGGTCTCCTTAGACCTTTTTTTATTTTGAGACAGGGTCTTGGTCTCCAAGTTGCCCTTATTTTGAGACAGGGTCTTGCTAAATTGCACAAGCTGGCCTCTAGCTCGTGGTCCTCCTGCCTTAGCTTCCCTACCCACTGGGGTTGCAGGTATGGGTGACCACTCTTGATGATTAGTGTTAAGTAAATAAACCCCTGCTATCATTCATGCTGAATCCAAGTTCTCCTCCCTGTACACTGCCACTTAATTGAGCTTGAGGAAAGCATTCTATTTAGGACTGTGCCATGTGATCCAAGACTACAGTGAATGTTCAAGCTGTAAAGAATGTACTATATATAATGAGACACGTTGCCCTCAATCCCCCCTCAAAATACTTCCCCTCACTTTGTGTTGCGCTTTGTTTTTGGTAGCAGGGATCAAACTCAGGCCCTTGGGCTTCCGAGGCAGGCGGCAGCACCACTGAGCTCCATCCCCGACCCCCTCCCCTCACTGTGAACATTCACCCCATCAGTCTTGCCACTGTCTGGAGCAGCTCCGCGATTCCTCCTTCGTGAGGGTCTAGTTGCACAGCTGTGGTCACCTTGCAGATCTGAATGGATCCAAACACGGCATTTCATCGTCCTTTTGATTTGGGGGAAGAGTAAGAAGTCCCACAGCGCCAGATCCAGTGGTGGATAAGGACACATCGACAAGCCTGCCCTTCCGCAGGACGGCACTTGGCAGGAGCCTATTCACCCTATTTTATAATCACACTTCATAAAGACACTCAGGAATGGAAACTGCTTCAAAGAGCAGCAAAAATAATGGGATGGGTTTGAAGCAAGGTGGAGTACTCTGAGAGGAGATTAAAGGCTATATATATATATATACACACATATATGCTATGAACCTGTTTCTTAGAATACTAACTCTCAACTCTTTGGCTTCCAAGTTCTCCTACAGTCTATTCACTCAAGTTATACAAGTGGTAAATATTCGACTTCCTCTGCTCTTGTCATCTTACTGCCTTCTTCCACATTCCGGCCAATATGTCCATTCCCCTGTGAGCCTGGCTCTGCAGATATATATACACACATATATGCTATGAACCTGTTTCTTAGAATACTAACTCTCAACTCTTTGGCTTCCAAGTTCTCCTACAGTCTATTCACTCAAGTTATACAAGTGGTAAATATTCGACTTCCTCTGCTCTTGTCATCTTACTGCCTTCTTCCACATTCCGGCCAATATGTCCATTCCCCTGTGAGCCTGGCTCTGCAGTCACCTGGCACGACCTTTTTCTGTCCTTACCTAAAGCTTACGTACTACTCTGGACACTTCAAGCGCTCTACCACCCCACCTCCAAATCTGAATTTAATCCCTATCACAGGCTTTTAATATATCGCTGCTCAACATATTTGGGATCCTGCACATTAATCTGATCTCCAAGTACAAAGATCTTTACATCCTCAAAGGGAAAGGTTTATATTACGTTTGTTTTCCTCGCAGCATAAGGCACAGTCGTACCTCTGTTAACCAAATTATAAGACGAGCTTAGCCCTATGTTGTAAACAGTAGCTTAGCAGTGCAGTCCCGATTACTGCTTCCGATCAGTCTTTTACTTCAAAACTCAATAATTAAGTTTACACCATTTCTTCCCTCTCATCCCCTATAGTACCAGGTCTCCGCACAATACCCACCCATGGGGGAAACAAAAATCCAACCAGGCCTCCAGGTCAGCTCTAAGACGACTCCCTGCCAGGTTACTGCAAGCTGTCCCCAGTTGACCTATCAATCCCGACGCCCTGCACTCTCTTGACATCATCGCTCTACCACAGTGAACGCAGAGCAACATTTGCTGAATGAATTCAAGCAAGGCGAAGCCCACCTTGCTGTTCCCTCCCTCTTCACCTGACATTACCCAAATAACGCCACCTCCTCTGGTCAAGCTTCCTGGGCTTCCCCAGCCAGAGGCGTCATTCTCTTTTCCACACACGAACGATTATTCACACATTCTCCCGCCAACGCCCTTAGCACCGGGCCTGGCTTTCGGCGAGTCTCCCACAAACGTCACGTACTCGTCACAGCGTTAAGGCACGTATAATACACCCGCTGCACGAAGACAGCCCGCTAGCCCGCTCCGTCGAGCCTCTCAGAGCGAACGCCTGCCCCGTACTCCCGAAACTGCAGGACCCCTGTGCGCGAGCGGACGGCACAGCTCTCACAAAGCGCACGGCCTGCGGTCCGCTGCACCGAGCGCGCGCTCCGGGAGCGCCTCCGGCCACGCGCTGCCTCTGCGTCCGCACTGAAATCGTGTTCTCCGCGTTCCCCGGGCTGTGGCAGAGCGCGCTACATTCCACTCATCCCGAACAGCTCCGCTCCCCGCGGACCTGC